CGCTCGGCGCGTCCCCTGGTGCAGGATGTGGCTAAGAGGAAACAGGCTTCGCAGCCACGGGCGGGACGCGTGGCCGTGCGTGGGTCGGGGCCCCCGCCGGGTCTCGGCATCCTCTCCAGGAACCCGGGCTTCCCCGGCAGCGCTGCCAGGAAGGTTTAACACGACGTATAGGAGGCGCCCGCAGGTGCAGACGCTGCATTGTGGCTGTTACCTTTGCACGTTGGCTGAATAATTTAAGGTTGACTTAAACCAGACATGTTCTCGTTTAATAAGGAAACTCTGGTTTAATGAAGCACTGGACGGCACAGATCAAGACTTAACCAGTTACTGTTTGCAGGGCCTTCCTAAGTAGGTATTTGTTTGTTTATTGAGAGTGTGTGGGAAAGGGGCAGAGAAGCCCAAGCAGGCTCCACACTGTCAGCACAGAGCCTGACATGGCGCTCGACCTCATGGCCCCTGAGATCACGACCTGAACAGAAATCAAGAGTTGGATGCTTAACCCACTGAGCCACCCGGCTGTCCCTTTAAGTAGGAATTTTAAGTTGAGAAAGCATCGACGCCATCTTTATGAACAAAGCCAGATAATACAAAGGATCTGAGGCAACAGAAGTGACTTAATGCTTTTCTTCATTCCAGTTAAAACCATGTATTTCTTGTTGTCCCTTTTTTGGTGGGCGGGGGAGGGGGTACACAGCACGCTCGTGTTTGGTCTGTGAGGGAAACTAAGCCCCCGTAAAACCCTAAAGAGGCTGTTGGTTCATGATGGACTGCTTCCCCGCGGTTCCCTCCCGGAGCCCTCCGGACACTATAGACCGAGGGTAAGGAGACACGAGTAATTGAGGACTAGCCGGTTCTCCAGGCTGAACGAATCCAGAAGTCTACCTCCCAAAGTGCTTAAAAGCACCTGGGCCCCAAGACTAAAGAGCTCAGGGGCCCCTGGGTGGCTCAGTCGGGTAAGCATCCGACTTCGGCTCAGGTCATGATCTCACAGTTTGTGGGTTCCAGCCCCATGTCAGGCTCTGTGCTGACAGCTCAGAACCTGGAGCCTCCTTCAGATTCTGGGTCTCCCTCCCTCTCTGACCCTCCCCTGCTCGCTGGCTCGCTCTCTCTCTCAGAAATAAATTAAAAAAAAAAAAGACTAAAGAGCTCAGGCTGAAACAGGGCAGGAGACCGCCAGCCACGAGATCTGGCCACACGTGTAGCAAGGCGAGGAATCAGCAGTTCCTTTAGGCGGACAATGGAACAAAGCTGATCGCCTGCCCGTTTTGTCTTCAGAAGTAACGTGGGAGGTAGACGCATGGACAAAAGGTTTATAACTCTGCCCAGGGAGCGGGTTTGATTCCTTGACACAGTTCATGTGGGACGCCATAACCATGCGCTAGAAGGGCATTTCGAGTAAACCTCTGTTCTTTCCCAAACAGCAGCTAGGAGCACCGAGGCTTCTATACTGTAAGCGCGTATGGCTTCAGCACTCGCAGCCTCTGATGGCCTCGGGGACGAAGGCCACCACACTGCAGTGTCACGTCTGCGTGGGTGGCCTGTCCGTCCTGCCACCGTGCTGCTCCTTCTCAGGACGGGGACGCAGGCTCTTGTGCCCTGCGAAGGCCACGTCGCGGCTGCCAACACCCCAGTTACCTAAACGAACCAAGGTTCCTCAGTCCCGGTTAGAATGCAGCGTTCATTCCGGGCACCCGGGCGGCTCAGTCGGGTGAGCAGTTTTTGCTCATGATCTTGCGGCTTCATGGGTTCGGGCCCCACATCGCTATCTGTGCTGACAGTGCAGAGCCTGCTTGGGACTCTCTCTCCCCCTCTCTCTCTGCCCCTCCCCCACTCATGCTCTCTCTCAAAATGGATGACTAAACTTAAAAAAATTTTTTTTGTTTAAAAGTAAATAAAAAGTAGTCATTCTAATGCAAACAGTTTAGACGGTTTATCTGAACTGTAATAACTCAGGTATTAAATACAAACAATGGACAGTTCCCAGAGCAGAGTGGGGCCTGGGCAAAAGGGGTGAAGGGGTCTAAAGATACAAACTTCCGGTTATAAAATCCACATCCGTATAAAATCCGCATCCACCATGGGGATGTAGGGCGACCATGGTTAGTAATACTGTGTTGCACATTTGAAAGTTGCTGAGTGAATCCTGAAAAGTCCTTATCAACAAGATTTAAAAGAAACAAAATGTGTAACCATAGTGACAGGCAGGTTTGCGCTACGGTGATGATTTCACAATACAGAAATATCAAGTCACCATGTCCTACAGCTGAAACTAAAATGTTACAGATCAGTTATGCTGCAATTAAAAAAAAACTTTTATAAACAAAAATAAATCTCAGCCGCTGTTCTACATTAGCTCACCTGGCATTCATCTGTTTTCAGACTCTGGTCCCCTTACTTCCCAGGGTCATCTGCATTTTTCTACTGTATCTAATCATGACCTAAAGCCTAAATCTTGACCTTCTGAGTACTTACGTGTGATTTTCCTGTTCACTGGAAATAATAAAAGTGATTTAAAGACCACCAAGTCCAACAAAACCTTCCTAGACCATCAAATCCAACAGAATCTGCTTCTAAACAGTTCCACATTTTTAGAAGAAAAAACGCCTAGGTTCTGTCCTGTGGGAAACTTCATCAAAGGTAGGGGAGAAATACCCAGCATTTGTCTTACTTACGTCAATTTATTTCTCGCAGGCACCTTTTATAAAACTTGTTCAAAAAAAAATTTTTTTAACATTTATTACTGAGAAACAGAGAGAGACAGAGCATGAGCAGGAGAGGGGCAGAAAGAAGGGGAGACACAGACTCCAAAACAGGCTCCAGAGTCTGAGCTGTCAGTACAGAGCCCGACGCGGGGCTCGAACCCACAAAACTGTGAGATCATGACCTAAGCGAAAGTCGGACGCTTAACCGACTAAGCCACCCAGGCACCCCTGAAACAGGTATTTTAAAAGTGACCGTGGATGGAGTTAAGCTATTTATTCAAGATCAAACTCTTAAGGGACAAAGATGGGCTTAAACCCAGCAAAGTTTAGCCTTTGTGCCTGTCTCTGTACCACAGTCATTTACATACACCAGAACTGTATAAAGAAATCCAGTATTAGCAACTGTGTTCAATTCAATCTTCACTTCCACAGCTTAGTTTTCAGTATTAGCTCTAATTAAAACAGAAGTAGAAAATAGCAAAAGGAACTTTCTAGAAGCAAAGATTCTTTTGAACTACTTTTATTGCCACTGGACTGTTAATCAAGTATCTCCACTTTCATATCGAAAGCTTTTTATTATTTGTCTAGGTTAATCGTAACACTCAAAGAGATTCTTAAGGGGCACCTGGGGGCTCAGTCAGTTGAGCCTCTGACTTCTGCTCAGGTCATGACCTCGTGGTCCGTGAGTTCGAGACCCATACTGGGCTTGCTGCTGTCGGCCTGTCAGTGCAGAGCCTGCTTCAGATCCTCTGTCTCCCTCTTTCTGCCCCTCCCCCGCTTGTGCTCTCCCCGCAAATAAATGTTACAAAAAAAAAAAAAGATTCTTAAATGTTCTCGAAGTTTTGCTAGGAAATAAATGCCTACTTGTAGGTACTGATATGCAACATGTTCACGTTTTAAGGTATAATCAACTACAATTTGCATTTCTCCACCAAACAGTTCTCTATAAGGCGGAGTCACTGTAAAACACTGAGGGATTTCCATCTGTCACAAATAACGTTCTTGGTGTTCCTCAAACGAAGTAAACAATCAGAAAACAGTCTAGAGTTTACCCAGAGCCTGGGCGCTCCAATGGCCACTTGCTTCTTCCTGGTGGTGGCTTCCTAAGTGACTGCAAGACAGAATATAGGAGAGAAACTAATTCTCCTCTCCACTTCCCGCTCAGAAACGTGAACCATTTTATTGCTTACAAATGAAGTGGGTCTACATCAGAGGTTAACAAACCTCTTGAGCGCAGGGCCAGAAAATAAGTAATTTTGGCTTTGTGGGTCATTTATTTGGCCTCCGTTGCCAACAGCTCTGCCATTGTACAAAAGCAGCCACAGACGATGCATAAGCGGATGCGAATGGCCGTGTGCCAATAAAACTTTATTTATGGACACTAAAACTTGAATTTTATAATTTTCACGTGTCATGAAACAGGATTCTTACTTTTTTTTTAACCATTTGACAATATAAAGCTCATTCTTGGCTCACAGGCTCTACATAAACAGGTGGTAAAGTGGATTTGGCTTCTGGGCAGTATTTCCCACCCCTTGGTCTGAATATATATTGTTTTGACATGTATTTGCTGGCAATAAGGTAACTTCTACTTCATTATTCAGAAGAACAAAAGACATTGCTTAAGGCTTTGTCTAAACTGCTGGTATACAAATCTTTAAAACAAAAATTTAAAAATCACTTACAACCAAATTAAATATACCGCTAGAGGAGCAAACAGACCAAATTTCATTTATTTCTTGACCTCACAGGTGTACAGTTCTCATGCGCACACAGGAAGCACACCTTAGTCCTACGGGGGCATCTGATCACGAGGCAAGTGCAAGTACGCTTGGAAACGTACACTTATGCGCCGTTTGTAAAGGAAACATGGCCACACTGCGGTGCGCGATGGCAACAGCGTGACGTGAACTTCCACGACCCGACCACTTCCGGGCGGTTTCATAAAAAATATGCCCAATCACTTAAAAAGTGGCCATTTGGGGAACAGGCCAGTACATAAAACATCTGCCAGGTCAAACTTAAGCATTTCCTTTTCTCAAAAATAATCTCCACATTTTAAACCTTTATGTTGAGTTGTTAAATGGTTAGACATTATTAGAGCAAGAAACAGACTTTCTATGGGCTCTAACTCTTAGCAGTTCAGCCAATTTTTTTAAACGTGCTCACGAAGCGATGACATTAGTTTTATTAAAATAGCAGCTACGTGAAATCTCCTTCCCCATTTACCGCGTCAGGCTGCTTCTGGGCCACCCCCGCCCCAGCGAAACAAAGACAGAAATGAAAAAAACAAATCAGTCTGAGACTCACTTGAGTGTTTAATTCAAACCTATATTTGTAGTTTCTAAAATGTTGATCCACAGACCACCCTCGTTACACGTGTGTAGCACTGAAAACAAGAGGCAGAGGCTGCCGGCCACCCCTACAGAAGGAACGGCTGCTTTCCTAACGTCCTTTAAAACTACACACGGGACAGTCTCGCGCCTCAGCGCGCGGTGGTGGAATAAATACACTGGCCTCTCGGGCTCCTCGCCGCGGATGTGCCCCGCCAACTACCTGTTGTAAGCCCGCTCCTTTCTGGACTTCTCCAGGGCTTTGTCCATGGTCTTCTCGTTCTCACCTCGACACTTGGGACAGTACCACTTGCCCTTTGGTTTATGGTTCAGCCCCACGCAGGAGAAGTGGAACCACTCGATGGGGCACTCGTCATTGTCACAGCCGATCATTTCTCCATAGGAGACCTGATTGCACAGACAGTACGTGGGCTCGTTCGGGTCGATGGGAAGGTCTGCGGGGGACGCCTCCCTCTCGGCTTTGGCCTTGGAGCGTTTCTTCTTCTTGGAGGCCTTTGCTTTCTTCTCCTTGGGTGTCCCCGAGGTGAGGTCATCGTGGTCGTGATGATTCGCCGCGTTCTCTCGGTTCTCGTTGTTGCGCTGTCGCCGGGACCGCTTGTTATTGGTCTTTTCCGCCTGCGTGATTGTCTCGCTCTTGGCCTTATCCTGGCCGGCCTTGCCACTGTGGCCGGTGGGGTCGCTGACCTCCTGATGGGCCTCGAAGAGCTCCACGTGACTGTCCACCTGCCTGGTCCGGTTCTCCACCAGCTCCACCATCTGACTCACGATCTGGATTTTCTCGTCGCCCAGCTCCTGGCTCCGAATCAGGGCCCTCTGAATGCAGTGCAGCACTCTCCGCTTCTGGACGCCGTCGGTCTCGCGCTTAAATTTCTCATAATATTCGTCCAGCTCCTTGAGGATTTCTGCAAAGGGAAAAATAAGCATTACGCCCACTCTAGCCGACACTACCAAACCCCTTATTTATTCCTCTAGTCTAGGAGAAAGTAATGTCAAAGGACAGACATGACTGATGCGAGATTTTCTAGGATGAAAATCCTATACCCTACAGGCTGCCTTTCAAGCCGACACTGTTTTTCTCTACTGAAAAAAATCCCTGGAACTAAATACAAACGCCAACAGGGTTCCCGGTCAGCAAGGCGCCACTCAAAGCTCCCCAGGGGGCTCTGCGCGCTCAGAAGCATGGGTAACACTGCTCTCAAAATGGGCAACTTCGGGGAAAACTTAAATTTAGGTGAAGTGCTGGTACCCAAACTTTTATTTTCTATAAAACTAATGATTTGTCCCATATTTCCATTGCTTTTTATTCAAATATTCTTCTAACTTAAACACCTGTATTTCCTTTGTTTAATTTTTTTTAAGTTTATTTATTTTTTGAGAAAGAGAGACAGAGTGGGAGGGGAGGGCAGAGAGAGAGGGAGACAGAATCCAAAGCAGACTCCAGGCCCTGAGCTGTCAAGCACAGAGCCTGATGTAGGCGGTTCCAACTCACAGACTGTGAGATCATGACCTGAGCTTAAGTCGGAGGCCTAAGTGACTGAGCTACCCAGGCGCCCCTTTCCTTTATTTTCATGTACCTTTGTCTAAAATACCCTATTAGAGAACGTATATAAACTCCGTGACCCAGAGCCTCAGTTTATCAGCCCTGTCTTTCTCCTGCTACCACATTATTCCTCCGTATTTACTAAAATGGTTTGTCACGATAAGCCCTACAACCTAACTTTGCTTTGAAACAATGGTGTCAGATTTTGCTTATACATTTACTGTGTAAAACCATACACATTCGTATCTATAAAACCCAACAGTATTTAAAACATTACCAAAACCAAAAAACCCTCAGGGCTATATTTAAACCTTGTACAGGGGATACCTGGCTGGCTCAGTCTATAGAGCATGTGACTCTTGATTTTAGGGTTGCAAGTTCAAGCCTCACACTGGGTGCAGAGATTACTTAAAATCTTAAAAACAAACAAGCAAAAAGCCCCAAAACTTTGTACAGACAGTGTATATGACTGGGAAAAGTAACTTGGGAAATGTAATTAGGCAATTTCCCAAGAAATCAAAGTTGTAAACTTAACTTGATTGAAATGAAGAAAGTAACTATTCTTGCCAAAAGCTTCCTGAAATACAAATAGAAATTCCCAGAGTAATTTTCCCCAAACAGTAACAAATCTATGTAGAATCAGGGGCACCTGGCTGGCTTAGTCAGAAAAACATGCAACTCTGGCTCTCTCGGGGTTGTGAATTCCAGCCCCACGATGGGTGCAGAGATTACTAAAAAATAAATATATAGTATCCAAATTTTTTTCTGATACCCTCTGCAGTCCCTTAAAATAAGGCAATTCTACTCTCCAACTAGGAAGTATGTGTTGGGGGGGGATGTATAAAATGTAACCTGTACTGGTTCCAGATCTTACCTTCAAGTAGTTATAAGGCATAAACCTAACACTGAAATAAACACAAAAACTTAGGTCAACACCAAAGCAGAATATAAGTATTCTGGGGTGCCTGGGGGCCTGCATCAGTTAATTATCATACTCTGGATTTCAGCTCAGGTCATGATCTCAAGGATCAGGAGTTCAAGGTCTAAGTCAGGCTTTGCGCTGACACCGACAGTGTGGAGTCTGCTTAGGATTCTCTCTGCTCCTCCCTTGCTTGTGTTTTCTCTCTCTCTCAAAAATAAATAAACAAAAAAGAGAGCTCTGAAGATACTTCCTGGATAAACACAGACTATCTGCCACCAAAACGAAGGAATGCCATAGTCTTGTAGTATCTTAGAGTAATTCTGAAAATGAATGGGCTCAACGTATCTAAGTTCTAGTTCGTGGATTTTAATATATGAGTTTCTGCAATTTATTTTTAAATTGATTGCACATTACAAAACTATTAACTGGTTTAATCAAGTAACCAATTTTTTTAAAGTTTATTTTGAGAGAAAGCGGGGGAGAGGCAGAGAAAGAATCCCAAGCACGCTCCACACTGTCAGCGCAGAGCCCTCTACAGGGCTTGAACTCACGAACCTTGATATGACGACTTGAGCCAAAATCCAGAGTCAGATGCTTAACCAACTAAGCCACTCAGGTGTCCCTCGAGTAACCAAATTTCTAAAGACAATGTTAGCCTTTCACAGAAGAGAGAACAATTTTATCATATTGCAAATATTAAATTCAGTACCGCACAGCTTCTTTTACATCACAAGCAAACTTCTATCCCTGGGAGGCTTCATGTGTGGGAAAGTAACAAAAATCACATCACAAAATTACCAAGAAGTCATTCTGTCCCCTACACAATGGCTTATTTCTGAGATTCTCCAAGCACAGCACTCAATCTGCACAGCCGCTGAGTACACACTGTGACAAGACCACCACCAGCTCTAACTGCGCAGGCGCCCTGCCAAGACACCTTCGGGAGCTTCTTCCGCTCCATCAGCTCAAACTGCCGCTGACCTTCCTTCTGCAGACGCTCCACGCCAGCATCCTTACAGGAGAGCAGTGGTACCGCGGAAAGAATTTAAGGATTAAATGAGATGGCAGCGAAACTTAATGCGATCTGGCCAAATATCAGAAACGTAGTTTAACTTTACCTAAAAGGTTGCACTGATGTTCTTTACGAAGCTGACTTCCATTGAGGGGTGGGTATTTTAAAAATACATGAAAAATAACAAAACCAAGCACAACTTCAAATAATATTTAAACTTGGTAAACTATAATCCATCTTTACGAAGTAATCTCCGGTTGATGCAAACTAACTAAGCAAGTCTGAGCTGCAACACAAGCCCTTCGAACGAACAGCCCCAGTGTCCCGGCGGACGGGCCTCGGGGTCCCCGCGGACGGGCACACCCCCACATGCACAGCGGGGTCCCCGAGCGAGGGGTGACCGTTACCGACAGCTCACGCGGCGGCCCTGGCTGCCCGCGGGCTCCGCTGGAGGCACCCGGTCCCGAAGCAGCAACAAAGTAACTCTGAGGGGACGCTAGGGCGGCTCACGGACAAACACAGCCCTCTTGAAACTTCCCACAGGTGCTAACGGACGGTACGGACGACGACTCCCTTTGATCTCTGCGCCGAGTCGCCGTCCCCGTCCCCTCACGCTCTCCCCGCTCCCCGCGGCCCTGAGCCAGCGGCAGGCCTGGGCAGGGAGACCCGGGCTCCATCCCCGGCCGACCCGGACCCCGGGCGCAGCCATCGCCCCGCGGCCGGAAGTGGCAAGGCTCGGGCCCCTGAGGGACAGGGGCGGGGCCGGGCCACCAGCCAATGAGGCGGCGGTTAGCGGGCGCCGCGCCCCGCCCCGAGAGCCACCGCCTGTGGGTATCGCCGGGCCGTAGGGCGGAGGCCAAACGGGGCTCCAATCACAGCACAGGATCAATGAACACGGCCCGCCCCAGTAGCGCCAGTGACCAATCCCAGGCCGGAGGCCGGGCGACTCGAAGACATTCAAATCAACTCGACCCCCTCCCACTCCCCGCCCCTCTGAAGAAAAAAAGCAGCGGAAACAGAGACCCGTGCCAGTCACTGCGCAATGCCCACCCCCCTCCGGCGCAGCAACCAATAGCTCAGCAGCGGATGGATAAGGACATTCCATGGGGGACGCCAAGACCAATCACAAGGAGGCCAAAGCGGGACGTTCGCAATATGCTAATAAGGCCCTTATAAAAGTCGCTGCGAAGCGAAGCCTTGGCTGGAGAGCGCAGGGGCGCCATCCCCGCGGGGGTGCCCGCTGCGCCTCGGGGTGTGCGGCTGCCTCCCACCTCCCCCCGCGCTTCCGTTTCCCTGCTGCGTAGCCCTGTAAACATTAGTAAACTCCGAGTGACGATCCGCGTCCCATCCACAGCCCCCACCGCCGTGCCCGACCCGGCAGGAAAGTTTCCCCAACAGCCAACGATTCCCAGCGGACACGAACCCTCCTCCACTCTCCGGGGCTCCGGGCAGCCGGGGCTGCAGAGAGCGACCCACAGGTCCTCTCCCTGCCTCCCTGCCATGTTCCTCTGCAAACACACCATCTTCGCCCGCGCCCCCCGGGCACAGATGGGCGACTTCCTCGACCCAGCCTCCCTTCCCTCCCCTCCCCTTCCCCACCGCACGCCCGGAATAAAGCCCCTGCCCTCAGCGAACTACACCCGGCTGCGCCGCCCCCTGCACGGCGGCCCTCGCTGGGTGTCCAGCTCCACGGAAGGCCCGGGGGGCTGCGCGGGGGCGGAGGCGGTCGGGGCCACACCGCGCGGAGTGCCGACCCCGGACTTTATGTAACACTCAGATTCGGGACTGGGTGGGGGTGGCCCCGGGGATGGCGAGCTGTGCCGGGGACCCGCCGCCCGCAGCGCCCTCCCCGCAGCCCTGCGCGCAGCCCCGTCGCTGCGCCCCTCAGCCCCGGCGCCCGCGGCACATCCCTCCCTCGGCGCCCCGGCCTGCGCCCCCTGCGCCCCCTCCCCCGCAGCACCCCGCCTCGTCACTTCACTACAAAGAGCGCTTTGCTCGCGCAGCCTGGCATTGAGACCTCTCGTTTCTCCTTCCTCCTCCGTGTCCCGGCTTCGCGCACAAGGACCTTGGCGAATCAAAGACGCCCCAGACCTTTTGTTCCTGCTCGGCCAGGGCGCCGCCACGGGCCCGCGGCTCCCCCGGGCGGGGGGCAGGACGGCCCGCGGCCCCGCGGCGCCCGCGGCCGGCGGGGATGGAGCGGCCGCCCCCGCCCATCCATCCCGCCGTACCTTGGTATTTCGCGTCGATCTCCCGCATCAGCGAGACGTTTCTCTGCAGGTCGAAAGGCAGAGACTCGATGGAGTCCAGGTAGTCCTCCACATAGTTCACCAGGTGGATCTGCTCCCCGTTGGCAGGGCTCAACATGGTTCACCGAGGTCCCCGGCGGCTCGGCGCGGCTTTCCGCTTCCTCCAGCCCCCGCCCCCTCGGAGCCCAGCGCTGCAAAATGCAAAGCTCCCGCCCGCCGGCGCCCCCCCTCCGGCCGGCCCCGCGCCGCTACATCTGCGAGCCGCGCCGCCTGGGCCCGGGGACCCGGCGCCTGGCGGGCCGGGCCGGCGCTCGGCGGCCTCGGGCGCGGGGCGGGCGCGGGCTGCGCGTGCGGGCGCGCACCCCGGCGCAGGGGCCGGGGCCGGGGCCGAGCGAGCGCGGGAAGGGGCGCGCGCCGCCCGCCGCGCCGCACTTGTCCAACGTGGAGAACCCAAATACCAGTTTCAAACACTTGGGAAACATTCGGCCCCCCGCACCGCGCATGCGCCCCGCCCCCCACGGCCCCCTCCCCGCGGGCCCCGCCCCCGCCGCATCACGCCCCTCACCGGCCCGGCCGCGCGGGGGTGTGGCTTTGTCTGTCACTTTGGCTGGGGAGGGGGTCGCGGGAACAGGGGCGGCGGGCGAAGCGCAAACTTTACTAGGAGTTTCGCACTTGGAAGCAGAGCCTGTCGGGCGGCAGTGCACGCCCGCCGGGGACCGTGGGGAGCAGCTGGCCTCGGCGAAGACCCGGTCGGAACCGACTCAGCCGCGGTAGCACTGCCGCCGAGGCCATCGCTCGCTGGGGCGGCCACCTCCCCACCCACACCCAGCCCCTCACTCTCCAGGGCCCAGCCGCGCAGCCGGGCATAAGTAAGGCCCGAGACAGACTGGCAACGCCGAGACCCAATCCGCTCGCCGTCCTTCCTCGGTGGCCCAATCAAAACGAAGGAGAGGCGGGACGAGTTAGGATAACCCCTCCCAGGCTCTTACTACGAGAAACCCGCGTCCGGCAGGGGACCGACGGAGAGGGCGGGCCGTGCAGGGCGGAAGTGGTGGCGCATGCGCAATTGCACGGCCAGGGAGGCTGCCGGCCCCGGAGGGAGGAGACCTACCATTAGGCGGCCGGACCACCGCTCCCAGCAACCTCAGCGGCTCGCGCGCCTGCGCGGTCCTCACCGCTTTCCCTTTGTGTCGCCGGCCGGAGCCCAGTGCCGAGCGGCTTGGAGACAAAGGGGCCCAAGAGGGGAGCTGCATTCGGAGCCAGGCTCCCGCAGAGGGCGGGCGATCCCGACCCCCTGCCGGATGTGCCCTGGAATCCGTTCTCACTCGAAAGGCCACTCAAACCGGCGCGGGGCAGGCGTCCGGGACCCGCTCCCCTTGCCATCTCGGCCTCTCCCCTCCCCCCACGGCCTCTCTCCCCACCCTAAGCTTCTGGATTTGGGTTTCCTGAAAAGCTCGGCTCAGACGACCCTGTTGCCTAGGCGACGGGCCCGCGAGCAGGCCCGCCGCTTCCGGCGGAGGCCCCGCCCCGTGGGCGTGGCCGCGCTCCGCCTTTGTCCTCCGGGCTCCGGCCTGCGCGGCCGCGGCTGCTGCCCCCGGGGCGGGCCTCCGCCGCTGCGGAGCGGTGTAGCTCGCGGGCTTCCTTCCCCCGGGGGGGCGGGGTGTCCTGTCGTGGCCTCTGACCCTGCACCCGCCCGCGCCGCCTGCCCCCGGTCCGTGGGGGCGAAGCAGGTGCGCTGGGGCCCACGGCGTGCTCCTCCGCAGACTCCACGCCGGGGCGCTCCACTGCTGTGCGGACTCGGAGGGACCGGCGAGGCGCGTCGTCAGGACCCAGGTCGTTGGCGAATTTTAAGTTACTGTATGTCGGGGCGCCTGGCTGGCTCAGCCCGTGGAGCCTGCGACTCTTGATCTCCGGGCTGTGAGTTCCAGCCCCAAATTGGGTGTAGAGATTACTTAGAAATGAAATCTTGAAGTAAAAAATAAAAATAAAATTACTGTGTGTAAGCCAGTAATATTTCAGGTCAACCCACTTTTATAAAACAGGTTGTTATCCGGTGGTGCTCATTCCAGCGATCGTAGGGTATTTGGTGAGAGGGATGTCTGTAGAGCAAATGAGATGAAATTGAGCTGTTTTGTCTTTAAAATGGATGGTTCTCTTCCAACGTTGTTGCGGCGATAAACGACGAATAATGTAACACTTTGCGGTAAATACAGTGGATCTTCACTCTTAAACCCCAGCATCCTTCCCCCTCATCGAAAGAATGTTCGCTTTGATATTTCGGAAAATGGTTATTTTTCTTATGGATTCACACGTCTTTCAGACTTGGCTCAGTTTAAAGCAAACGATGAAGTTTCATTTCATTTTATACAACAAAATGTATTAGTCACTAGTCTGCACGAAAGGACTTGAATACTGTGATATTATGTGGCAGTGGAAACGGTATATGGAATAGAGATACTATACAAAGATGAAGAAAAAGAATTAATAAAAAAATAACTTTTTCTCCAAGACCGTATAGATAATTTAAAACTAGTATATAGTAAATCCTTGCATTTATTGGCTCTAGAATCAGAAGTGTTTGAATTTAAGAATAAAGTTTAGAAATAATTTACTCCTTCCAAAGATAAGCCAATTTGAACTAGATTATCTTCAAAAAAATTTTTTTCCAGTTTGAGCTAGGTTATCTTAAAAAAAAATTTTTTTTAGTGTTTGTTTATGTTTGAGAGAGGGGAGGGAGGGCAGAGAGAGGGAGACACAGAATCCAAAGCAGATTCCAGGCTCTGAGCTGTCAGCACAAAGTCGGTCGCGGGACTCAAACTCAAGAACCGTGAGTCGGACAGAGCCATCCAGGCGCCCCTGAACTAGGTTATCTTTTTCAAAAATCACGATATCATCTGACTAGTGATTCCTTTCATGTTTTCATGGTCTTCACAGACACAGAAACAAAAGGTTATCTTAATCATTCAATAAGAAATATTTCATGAATGCCAACCAGGTGCTAGCTCCCGCTCGGGCCCTGGGGACATGGCAGTGAATAAGGAGCTTACATTCTGTAAGACAGTTTACCTGTGGGCTACAAAGTCAGAAAATATTTTATTAGCTTTATAAAGTCTTTAAAAATACATAACAATGACTTAACAGTTTTCTGAACATGGTTAGAAGACCGATAGCTAAAAGGTAACTATGATTGTGCATTTTAATAAATATACGACTAAGGAAAAATAATTTTGAAGATACATTGAAGAACCCTGTTTGTTTTCGTTCTGCTCTTTGGAGTGTATTGCAAAGATGGATATTAATTTTTTTTCTGAATTACATTTCTAGTTTAACTGGTGATGCTCAGACTCGTGGGAGAAAAAAAGAAGTGAACATACAATTTTGTTGTTTTGTTTTGAGGTGCTTAAAAAATAAATGCTAACACATTTCTTTCAAACTTGAAATACCTTAAACACTATGCTACCTTATCTACCCTACTTTGGATTTGCAAGACTTGGCCATGAAAGCAAAGGTATTACTAGGAACTACATTTTTGGTTGTTGTCATTAAGGACTAGAAAATGGCATTCAAGATACTTTGAAATCATTAATTTTTTTTTTTTTAATTTATTTCTAGGAGAGAGAGAGAGAGAGCGTGAGCAGGGGAGGGCCAGAGAGAGAGGGAGTCACAGACTGAAGCAAGCTCCAGGCTCTGAGCTGGCAGTCAGCACAGAGCCCGACGCGGGGCCCGAACCCACGAACCGCGAGTTCATGACCCAAGCGAAAGTCGGACGCCTAACCGACCAAGCCACCCAGGCGCCCTAATTTTTTTTTTTTTGAGAGAGAGAAAAAGAAAGCAAGCAAGCAGGAGAAGGGCAGAGAGAGAGAGAGAGGGTGAGAGAGAAAATCCCAAGCAGCCTCCACACCGTCAGTGCAAAGCCCAAACCCATGAACCATGAGATCAAATCAAGAGCAGGACGCTTAACCGGCTGAGCCACGCAGGTGCCCCTAAAATCATTAATTCTAATATGCCTTTTTCTTCTGACCCAGACTGGGGAGGTGGCCCTTCAAATTAACAGGCTTCTCGAAGAGGGGAAAAAAAGAAAAGAAAAAACGAAAAAAAAGTTACAGAGAGGGAGGGAGGCAAACCATAAGAGACTCTTAAATCCTAAGAACAAACTGAGGGTTGATGGGGGTAAGGGTGAGGAGAAAGTGGGTGATGGGCATGGAGGAGGGCATTTGTTGGGATGAGCAGTGGGTGTTGTATGGAAACCAATTTGACAATAAATTATATTAAATAAAATGAAAAAAACAAAAAAATTAACAGGATTCTTTTCAGGAATACATTCACCAATAAATCTTCCCGTCATTTTTATTTTACCTCAATATTCGACCTGCAAAAGGAGTCATATTTTAATTACTCATAATTCATCATATTTTAATTATTCTATATCATTAAGTAGATGGTTATGTTTATTATAGTTTGATGATTTACAAAAGACTTCAGAAAAAGAATTGCTGCCAATTACGGCTGAACATATCACACGACCTGTTTTCTGAAGACAGAAGATACTATCCATTGTTAACTGAAAAGTTATGAATTTCCTATGGCCAATTCAGACATGCCAGTCATCCCGATTCATGTGCAGGATTTAGTCTTCGGTGTTACTAAATCTGCTTTCAAAACTTCTAGCCTGTGCCTTGAATCCTGTGTGTTGTCACAGATTGCCTTTTGTTCATTTTCTTATTTTACCGGCACATCTAATATCTGGAGCAGAGCTTTCTCTACCAGATATTTTACTGCCCAAATTTCCTCCCACATGCACAACAGGTGGATTTCATCACAGGTAATTCAGCAGCCCTTTTCTGAATTTAGTCTGCTTACGGTGAGTGAGTTCAAAAGAACTTACGATCTCAAGTACTCGAGAGAAAAGTATACACATTGTACTGGAAATAAGAGACAGTTACAAAATAACCTCGATAGGGATGCAGACAGTAAGGGAGGGACACTGCGCCAGTGCAACTTTGAGTAGTCCGGGAGCCTGTGCTCAGCACTGAGGGTTAGGTCTCCTAATTCTCCACCACGGGGTCTAACACTTCAGCATCATGCGCTGGAACAGAGTTTACATTAGACTACAATTTAGCCTGAAGCAGAATTGCAGAATTGGACTCCAGGGATCTTGAAAGAAAAAAAAAAAAAGGAACGCACCATTTTGTCTCTGTTTAAGCATTAACCTTTCAACTGAATGACCAAAATAAAGAAACAAAAACCAACCAACCAACCAAACAAAAAACAACCGAGAGACCTCTGTGCGGTTTTGAGGAATGTAAAAACAAAGGGGATTTCTTTTCTTTCTTTCTTTTTTGAGACATTGTTTTGCAAGATATCAGTAGGTGCATTTTTGTCAAGATAACATGAAAGTAACTTCAAGTCAATCCGCCTTTAAAAAGTCCCACTGAAACCGCAATTCAGGTTGTTTTTGTTCCCGAGAGGAAATGATACACAATGTTTAACCCTAATGAATCCCAAGTAGACACTTCCACTACTCGCACTTGATCAATGGGGTGGTTTCCAAGCTTCGGTCTTGCATCCGGAGACAGAGTGCTGTCTTGGGGTGCAAGTGTGCCTTGTGCTGTAAAGTGGGGACGTGCTGTGTGCGTGTTGGGGTATGAGTATGCTGTGTCGGGGTGCAGACGTTCTGCGTTGGGGGGCTGATGTGCTGTGTGTGCCCTGGGGCACAAACGTGCTGTGTTGGGGTGCAGATGTGCTGTGTTGGGGTGCAGACTTGGGTAGTGCGTGCGTGGGGGCGAGATGTGCTCCTGAACCCGCAAGGAGCCGAGGCGGGCGCCCGCGCGGTGAACTCCGGCCGGCAGCGGCCTCAGGCGCAGGGGCAGGAGGTGGGCACCCGCCCCCCCGCACGACGGGCTCCAAGGAGAAGGGACCCCACCTCCGGACGCGAAGGAGAGCCTCCCCTCCCTCCTCCGGCGCCGCGCCCCGGCCGCGCGCACTCTTCCCCGCCCCCGGCGCCGCAGCCGGCGCCACACGGGCCCGTGGGAGGCGCTACCGCCGCGTCCCGACCCCTTCTTTGGGGGTTGACAGGCCGAGGCAGGTCCTCTTCCAGAATGGGCGGGCACGGCCGCTTCCCCTTCCGGGATGGGCGTGGTGTGGCCAGAAACACTTCCGGGTTGGGCGGGGCCTGGGCGTCCGCGGCTCTGGGTTGGACGGGTCACGGAGAGCCTTTTCCGGGGTGGGCGGGATCCGGAGGCTCTCTTCCGGGGGGCGGGCCCGGCGCGAGCCCCTCCCGGAGTGGGCGTGGCGAGCCTCCCCGAGGCCGCGGGTCGCGGCGCTCTGAGCCGCGCGCGGCCAGGCCATGCTGCGGGCGTGCGGGGCGGCCGTGGGCCCCCGGCTCCTGCGGGCCGCGCTGGGCCTGGGGCCCGGGCCCGGGCGGGCGGCGTCGGGGGCGCGCGGCCAGGGCTGGCTGCAGCCGGAGGGCCACGACACGGGCGTCAAGGTGTACAACAGTCTCACCCGGAGGAAGGACCCCTTGATCGTGGGCAGCGCGGACGCCGTCTCCTGGTAGCCGCCCGGGACTTGGGGGACTGCGGTGCTGGGGACCGGGGCGGGAAGGACTGTGGACCCAGCGTTTTGGGGGCGGGCTGTGCGCCGGAAGGCTCTCAGGTGGAAAGCAGTTAGGAAGCGACAAACGCGTGGCAGCACACTTGGAGACACTGTGTGTAGTCACGGGTACTTGACAGCGTGGGCTGGGAATCCCCCAGACGTGGTTCTGTGCAAACCCTGAGAGGGTGGCGTCCTTTCTTGCACACATGATTCACGCGATGGATTGTAACTGTGTTCCTAGGTATAGCTGCGGACCAACCGTCTACGATCACGCACACCTTGGCCATGCTTGGTGAGTGTCTCCAGTTTGATTTTTCACACTTCAGAGGACCGTGTATTTTGGAAAGAAAGAGCTCTTTGCAGTTTTTTTTTTCCATTTCTCAAGGGGCAACTTAAGAATCCTGAATTTATTCCGGGTGCTGTAGGAGGCACACCTGTTAACAGCCTCATTTGGTTCTATTAGTGGCTCTGAGCACTTATACCCATTTCACAGGTGAGGAAACCAAGGGAAGCAGTGAGGAGAAGTGATCAATGGCCTGTTTTGGAATTAGATGTTTAATGAGATGAGGCTATTCCAGGGGTTAGGAGTCAGCTGGTGAGGAGTTATTTCTGGCCCCCGCTGTTTAATTTCATTCCAACTTTGGACAAGCCACTTTGTTACCTTGAGTCCTGCTTTCTGTATCTTTGCGGTGGGCACTATAATAGTATTCATCTTTTCCAATCTGCACAATTTTTTGAAATAACGCCCATACAGTTCTGCTTCTAGAATGCCTGAAGTGTGACGTGGGGGCTTCACCGTGAGCGTGAGGAACTTCCCCGAAGTCACACATCCAGGGAGCCTGGAGCCTGGTGTCTGGTCTCCAACCACATAGTTGCTTTCTCAACCTGCTAGCCATCAGCTGCACTTCGGCCCACCTTTGTCAAAATTGCACTTTTCCTAATATTTTGTATGTTCTCTCGTTCATGTCTTACACTTGTTTTGTTTCAGATCTAGACCAAAAGTGAAACACTACCTTTACTCATTACACTTTGTACAGAATCATGGGTATCGCCCAGGGAAGTTAGGAGCATTTTTTTTTTTTTTTTGGTGTTAAAATCAGTGGTGTGGGAACCCTTTTTTCCCTTCACTGTGGGCTAACTTTCCACTACTTATAAAAAGCATATTTTGACCTCTTTATTGAAGTATAAAATATGTTGGGGAAGTGTTAAAAAACAAGAACGCCTCCCAACCTGGAAAAACCTCTCCACAAAGGCAGAAGAGAAAGCAAACAAGTTTTTTGTTTTTTTTTTTAATTTTTAAATGTTTTATTTACTTTTGAGACAGAGACAGAGCATGAGTGAGGAAGGAGCAGAGAGAGGGGCAGACACAGAATCCAAAACAGGCTCCAGGCTCTGAGCTGTCAGCACAGAGCCCGACGCGGGCTTGAACCCACAAACCGTGAGATCATGACCTGAGCCGAAGTCGGACACCCAGCCGACTGAGCCGACTGTTGAGTGACATTAAATCAGAACGGGATGGGGTCACAGGCAGCTCGCTAACAGGATTGCAAAGACAGAACTCTTTATAGAGCCAGGTGGGTAAAAACTTGTGAGATCAGGTGGGGCTTGCGACCTGAAGTCAGGTGGCACGTCCAGCCCATCCCCCTTCGGGAGACAACCTTCCTTGATGACGTCATTTCAGAAAGGTGGCTCTTAGCTCTGATGGATGTTAGCAAAGGAACGAGGTCCCAGGGATCAATACAAGTTCTGGTTAGTGAACGTAAGTGACAGCAAACTGAAGAAAGGAAATGTTTCACTGTAAAGCTGCTTAGAATGAAGGTCTTCCAAGAAGCCATCTGCACAGTTTCCCACTTGGCCAGGAAACGTCTCCCCTCTCAATGCATGAAATCATGTTAGTGTATTGTGCTGGGGTTTACACTGATTCATAAGTAGCTGAAACTCGGAGCGCCTGGGTGGCTCAATCAATTGAGTGTCTGACTTTGGCTCAGGTCATGATCTTGCAGTTTGAGTTCGAGCCCTACCTCAGGCTCACTGCTGTCAGCACGAAGCTCATTTCAGTTCTTCTGTCCCCTTCTCTGTCTGCTCCTCCCCTGCTCACATGCTCTCAAAAATAAGTAAACATTAAAAAATAATATATATGTATCTGAAACTTAAAAAGGTGGCTCTTGGGTCCCTGAGACTTTTCTGAGTGTGGGACTCACAAGGGGCTTCCTTAGCCATTGAAACCATCTACGTAAAACATTTCTTAAAAATTAAAAATTTTTTTTTTAAATTTTAGAGCGCACGTGCGTGCCTGGGGGTGGGCAGAGGGAGAGACAGACTCTAAAGCAGGCTCCACGCTCTGCACAGGGCCTGACGCGGGGCTCAATCCCACGACCCTGGCATCATGACCTGAGCTGAAGTGAAGAGTTAGATGCTCAACCAACTGAGCCCCTAGGTGTTCCTCACACCCGTTTTATAAGGACTGAGGCATTTCTGAAAGAAAGGGGCAGTGGGGGAGAGCCTCTTTCCTAATTTCCCACTAGGAGACCCAAGCCTCTCAGTTACAATGTGTATTTGCCCCTCCAAATACAGAAAAGAGTACAAACGTTAAGCATAGAGCGGATGAGTGTTCACGGCTCTTAGAAGGAGACACAGGTAACAACAGCCTGGAAGCCTCCCCAGCGCCTCCTTCCTCAGTCTGGTCCCCACCCCCTCGAGGGTAACGCTAGGGAAGGCTGGGCTGGGGTGGAGCCTTCAGGCTGCCCGTGGGTGGTGGAAAACCTCACAACCACAAGATTGTGAAGAAGTTGTGAGGTCCTAGGGGCCGGGATGGCCAGGCACGGCCCCACTGCCCCAAGGTAAAGTTCAAAGTCCTGGGGTCGTCTCTGCAGTTCTGAAGGCCTGTCCCGACTTACTGCCCAGGATCATGTCTCTCCACTTTCCTCCCCGGGGTGCCACACTGGCTGCTGTTGAAAGAGACATGTACTCCGGGTGCCTGGCTGGCTCAGGCAGTAGTGCGTGTGACTCTTGATCTCAGGGTCATGAGTTCAAGCCCCAACTTGGGCATAGAGCTAGCCAAAAAAAAAAAAAAAGACATGTACTTGACAGACGCAGCGTCTGGTGTTGCTGTGTGTCCGGCATTGTTCTCAGTGCTCTACAGACAGCTGCTAACCCCCTAACGGCCCCGGACGGCGGTGCTGGTAGCACCCAGCTGCAGAGGGGGACCTGCCGGGCAGGGGCTGACATCGTGGGCATGGAGTGGCCGCTGGGGGAGCCACGCACCTGCAGCCTCAGTGTCCTGAAGCCCTGAAACTCCTCGGGCCCAAGCATATGCCGTGACTCTTCTTACTTTGTTTTCGGAGTCTCTTTCTTTTTCTGTGAACTTTTCCCAGCTCAAGCCGAAGGAAGGGCATGGCGATGCCCGTAGGAACCCGTGCTGCACGGGCCCCGGGATCACGTCCGGCAACCCCGTGGGGTGGTGGGATTCTGCCCAGTTTCTGAATAAGCAGCTCAAGCCTTTAGATGATTAAATAAGGAGTTTCCGACATCGCTTTGTCACTGGAGCTGTGTTCGGGGTGGGGGGGAGCGTGGCAAGCCGCAGGGGTACGATCACAGGGCTCGTTTTCGAGGGAAAAGGATGTTCGGAACTCAGGCCGTGCGCATGACAGATGAGCGGAAGGTTCGCTGGCCTGCAGCTTTAAGATTGCCTTTATGGGAAGCCAGATTATTTTTTTAATTCACAGCTGAGCTAGTTAGCACATAGTGCAGTGATTTCAGGAGTAGATCCAGACTCATCCCTACGTTGGACACCCAGGGCTCATCCCCACGAGTGTCTCCTTCCTGCCCCTCGCCCAGCTAGCCCATCCCCCACCCGCAGCCCCTCCAGCAAGCCTCAGTTTGTTCTCTGTATTTAAGGGTCTCTCTCTCTCTCTTTTTTAATGTTTATTTATTTATGAGAGATTGATAGAGAGTGAGCGAGGCAGGGGTGCACAGAGAGGAAGACACAGAATCCGGAGCAGGCTCCAGGCTCTGAGCTGTCAGCACAGGACCTGATGCTGGGCTTGGAACGCACAGTGAGATCATGACCTGAGCCAAAGTCGGATGCTCAAATGACTGAGCCTCCCAGGCGCCCCTGTATTTAAGAGATTCATGTTTTTTTGTTTTTGTTTTTTAAAATTTTTAGTGTTTTATTTATTTCTGAGAGAGAGACAGCGTGAGCAGGGGAGGATCCGAGAGAGAGGGAGACACAGAATCCGAAACGGTTTCCAGGCTCTGAGCTGGCTGTTAGCACAGAGCCTAATGTGGGGCTCGAACCCCCGAACCATGAGATCACGACCTGAGCCGAAGTCGGATGCTTAACGGACTGAGCCCCCCAGGCGCCCCTAAGAGACTCATGTTTTGTCCCCCTCCCTATTTTTATCTTATCTTTCTTTCCCTTCCCTTATGTTCATCTGTTTTATATCTTAAATTAAACATATAAGTGAAGTCATAGGATGTTTGTCTTTCTTGGCTAATTTCGCTCAGCATGGTACCCTCTAGTTCCGTCCACGTTGTTGCATATGACAAGATTTCATTCGTTTCGATGGCCGAGTAATTATCCATTGTATATACAAGTCACATCTTCTTCACCCACTCATCCGCCGAGGGACATTTGGGCTCCCTCCGAACCTTAGCTGTTGTCGACAGCGCTGCTGTAAACACTGGGTGCACGTGCCCCTTCGAAACGGCGCTCCTGTGCCCTTTGCGTAAATACCTCGTAGCGCAATTGCTGCGTCGTAGGGTAGCTCTACTTTAATTTTTTGAGGAAACTCCGTATTGTTTTCCAGAGTGATGCCAGATTCTTAACATTTACAAGTTTTTTTAATGTTCATGTATTTTTTGAGAGAGAGAGAGCACGCTGGGGAGGGGCAGACGGGGGGAGAGAGGGAATCCCAAGCAGGCTCCGTGCTGTTAGCACAAAGCCTGACTTGGGGCTCGAACGCCCAAAATGTGACCTCATGAGCTGAGCCCAAACCAAGAGTTGGACACTTAACTGACTGAGCCCCCCAGGCGCCTCCAGATTCCTGACGTGTTAAATGGTTCTCGAACCCTTTCAGTTATGTAAGTTTGAGTTGCCCCAGGGTAGCCCGTGGATAAGCTGGTGTGTGATATTGTATGGTGGTGCGTCCACATTTCTGAGGCGTAACGTTGTACAGCCTTCACTGTACTTGCCTGGATTTGTTGTCCCTGCTGCTTTGCCATAGTGAAAACACTGCATTATTCTCGAACATGAACAAGAATGGCGACAGCTCTCCGCATTTTAACCACCTAGTGAGATTATAGTGGCAGTGAATTTTTTTACAATTAGATGAATGTAAGCGCACTTACCAGCTCCAACGTTAAAGATGTTAATACCAGGGCGCCTGGGGGGCTCTGTCGGTTGAGCGTCCGACTTCAGCTCAGGTCATGATCTCATGGTTCGTGGGCTCGAGCCCCGTCTCGGGCTCTGTGCTGACAGCTCAGAGCCTGGAGCCTGTCTTTGGATTCTGTGTCTCCCTCCCTCTCTAACCCTCCCCTGCTCACGTTGTCTCTCTTTCTCTCTCAAAAATAAATAAAACATTAAAAATTTTTTTAAAAAGTAAACATGCTCATGCCACGCCTGCCATGGAGGTGATACCTTTTTGGCGTGGGCCCCTCTCCTAGCTGCACGTGAGCTGTCCCTTCTGTCACACACCCAGCTGCTCTGTGGCAGCCGCTGACATGTAAGGTGTTCCTTTTTAAAGACCACAGTGGTGATTTTCTGCATTAAAGACGTCCTAATATTCATTTCCTTGCAGCTCATACGTGAGATTTGATATCATTCGAAGGATCCTCACGAGGGTTTTCGGGTGCAACGTCGTCATGGTGATGGGAGTCACCGATGTGGACGACAAGATCATCAGAAGAGCTTGCGAGGTAAGCGTCGAAGACGATGGTGGTTGTGAGTGGATCGCCCGGTGTTCTGATCCACGTGTGGCAGTGCCCGTGGCTGTTTCACACGTGCATTTCACGTCTCACTGTCCACGTGTGGCCCAGCGAGAACGTGCTGACAGGTTCTGGGAGGAATCTCTGTCCCCGTAAAAGAGGCCTGTTCGATTCTGGTCACCGAAGCCTTTGATGACGTGTCTCGTTCTGTCCTGGCCTCTGCTTGGACCTTCATCCCTTTCCCGGCCCCTCGGCCTCCCAGCCTCCCACACAGAGGGAAGTCAAAGGGCCCCTTGGGACCAGAGGAACCGAGCTCGCAGGAGGCTCAATTTGCTCACTTATTGTGTGTTAAGTGAACAGGGCACTTCTAACTCATACAGTATTAGGGGAAGTTTTGGGGGCAGTTTTAACTGAGGGGTTAAAGTTAAATATTATAGTTAAATTTTTAAAAGTCAACTTTCAGAGGTTTGTCTCTTCTGCTTTTTATAATTGGCAACTTGAACGTTTATCTCTAAAGATCTGTGAGGGATCGTTAGACAGTCCAATCTGTGCACAAACCTACACAGAACACTTTACATTCCTGTTATTTTAGAAGACGTACTAAAAACTGTATGTACTTTCTTTTTTTTAGGAAATCAGTTTATAATGTTTTATAGTCTGCTTTCTCCACTCAGTGTATTTTGAGTATTTTTTTCGTGTTCTTAAATATTCTCGAACGTTCTTAAATAGCCTTGTAACATTCCATCACATGGAATGTCACAATTTGCCATTCTTAATTTCGGACCCTGAAGTACTTCCATAGTCCACTTTCTCTGAAACTTATTTCCTAGAAACCACATCTCCTGTTTCTCACCCATTTGCCGTTTTTTTTGGTAAATTTTATTTATTTAAGAAATCTCTATACCCAACACAGGGCTCGAACTCATGACCCTGAGATCAAGAGTCGCATGCTCCTCCGACTGAACCAGCCAGGTGCCCCCTAATTTGCCTTTTTAACAACGTGATAGCATTCCGGTGGCGGGGGGGGCGCACTACCCAGCAACCCCCGTCTGGGCTGTGTCGTTTTTAGCTGTTAAAAATAAAGCTGCTGTGAATATCTGTTTTTTCATTATGTCTTGTTTCACTAAATACTCTTCCCAAAGTAGAATGACTGGTTGAAGGAGGAGCGGGTTCTTGATAAGGCTTTTCTCCTAAGAGTTGGGCCATTAACATTTTTTTTAATGTTTATTATTTTTTTTTCATTAAGTTTTATTTATTTCTAGGAGAGAGAGAGAGAAAGACAGCATGAGCAGGGGAGGGTCAGAGAAGAGGGAGTCACAGACTGAAACAGGCTCCAGGCTCTGAGCTGGCAGTCAGCACAGAGCCCGATGCGGGGCTCAAACCCACGATCCGTGAGATCATGGCCTAAGCGAAAGTCGGACGCTTAACCGACTAAGCCACCCGGGCGCCCCTAATGTTTATTTTTTTGAGAGAGACAGAGCATGAGTGGGGGAAGGAGCGGAGAGAGGGGGACACAGAACCCGATGCAGGTTCCAGGCTCCGAGCTGTCAGCACAGTGCCCGACGCGGGGCTCGACTCATGAGCTGTGAGATCATGACCTGGGCTGAAGTCCGACGCTTAACTGACTGAGCCCCCCCAGGTGCCCGAGCTGGGCCATTTAGAGAGTGTTAACCAGCGGCAGTGAAAGTGGGCTCCTCCCCGCATCCCTCGGCACAGCAGGCTCCGTGTCTGCCCCGCCTGGGCAGCTCAGCCTCTGTGCCGGGCTCCCCCGTGGTAGCCTCGACTTCCACTTCCAGAACTGTCCCTGCGCATGCACTGAGCCGCGGGGTCTGGCCCCCGCCTGGCTGTGTGCCCACGAAGGTGAGGGAGACCGTTCCTGGGCGCAGGGAGCTGGTGCCCCCGTCAGGTGGCCGGTCCCACAGAGAGATGCCTGTGTGTCCCGTAGTTCATCTCGTAGCTGGGAGAGGGGACTGCAAGGAAGGGCATCACAGCCCGGAAGTCAGAAGTGAGTCCCTGGAGGGGGTCAGCCTGCGTGGGATCAGGCGTCGGGACAGGAGAGACATGTGGGAGCAGGGTAGGGGGGCGTCTGGCCAGAGGGAAGGGCGGGAGGGGTGAGGCAGCGAGCAGGCCTGTGCCGGGGGCCAGCAGGGCCTGGAGGACCGGGGACTTGGACTTTGTGCGGTGACTCTGGAGGTGCTGCGGGCCTGCGGGGGGGGGGGGGGGGACAGCTTCAGGACGGGGTGAGACGGGGACAGCTTCAGGAGGGGGTGAGACGGGGACAGCTTCAGGACGGGGGGGACGGGGACAGCTTCAGGACGAGAGGGGACGGGGGCAGCTTCAGGACGGGGGGGGACGGGGACAGCTTTAGGACGGGGCTGGTGTCCCAGAGACCCCACTGTGGAGAGAGCCGGACCCCCTCCCCGCGCACTCCTGGCGTGGAGCTGATTGTCTGTGGCGGGTGATGGAACCCACCTTCCCAAGTGACAGAGCGTCCGGAAGCACCCCCAGCCGGGGGGCTCAGAGCTCAGGGTGGTGAACACGGGGGTGGGGGTGGGGCGGTGTCTGGGAGAGCCTGGGAGCTCCCCCTCCTCCCCTGCGCCTTGTGGTGAGTAGGGTGCTCTCCTGAGTTCTGTGACTCGTGTCACACCCCCAGTCTAGAGTCCCGGGTGGAAGTTCCAGGGCCCGGGGATCCCCGTTGCCGCCGGCATCCGAAGGGAGCAGGCCTGGGGTCCTGCGCTGACCCGGAGTCCGTGTCAGAACAGGTGGAGTCGCGGGACACCCAGCTGCAGTTGGAAAAGCGTCACACGTGAGGTGACAGAAGGGAGATGCCAGGGCCTGGGAGCCAAGAGCGGGTGGGTGGGCGCCTTGCCGGGTGGCCGTCCCTGGTGCTGTCTGGCGGCCTCCATTCTGTCCCTGCCCCTGGGGTCAGGTGTCCCCTGGTCCAGCCAAGGCCCTGCAGACGCGGTGAGCCGTCCCTGCTGGGGGGGCAGATGTGCAGGACAACAGGCGGGCCGGGGTCCCCAGGCAGGACCGGCCAACCCCACAGGAGGAGGGACCTGGGCTTGGAGCGGCTTCCACAGGACTGGGTGACTGCAGTGCGTGCTCAGTCACCTCGCTGTGGATTCTAGATTCTCCTAGATTCTCGAGTGGAGCTTTTTGAGCAAAGAGATGGCCTGGGACGAGGCGGGGCAGGGGTGAGGCGGGGCAGGGGCGGGGGGCCGTGCTAGGAGGGGGTAAGTGCTAGGAGCTGAGGCTGGCTGGGCAGGCACTCGGAAGGCTGAGCCCAGGGGGGCTGAGCAGGGCGGCCCGGGGTGGAGACCGCAGCCTCCGTGGTCCCCAACGCAGTGAGCGCGAGCTTGGAAGGAGCAGGGCGCAGGAGGCATTTGGAATGGAGGTTGGTTAAGGAGGAAGCTGGGGCGTTTCTTCCATCCTCTCGCTCAGTGGGAACCCGGCCCCGGGTGGGACCCCGCACTCGATGAATGGGGCTCTGCTGTGAATTTGCAAGATCGGAGGTGGAAACCTCGAGCCCGTGGCCTGGCTGGTGTGAGGTGGAGACGGTCAGGCTCTGGAGGGGCCCGTGGGGAAGGTGTCGGGGGGCGGGTGTTGGTCAGCCAAGGGCGTGACGCGAGAGACGTCCCAGGAGGGGTGGCAGCAGGGGTAAACGCAGCAAGAATAAAGTGACTTAGAGGATTCCACAGGTACGGCGAGGAGGCAGCGCGTGTTAAAGATCCTATTATACTTGAGGGCACCGGCGTGGCTCATTCTGTTGAGTGTCTGACTCTTGGTCTCGGCTCAGGTCATGATCTCACGGTTCGTGGGATCGAGCCCACGTGGGGCTCTGTGCTGACAATTCAGAGCCTGCTTGAGATTGTCTCCTTCTCTCTCTGCCCCTCCCCTGTGTGTGCTCACTTGCTCTCTGTCTCAAAATAAATAAACTGAAAAAAAAAAAAAGAATCGTATTAGACCATGAACAGATTGGTAGAATTGGCTGAAAGATTCTGTATGTAGAGAGCGCTTAATTTTGGACCCCTGAGAGTTTCCATACTCGTTCCATGGCAGGATGCTAATGTGCCACCCGGTATGTTCCTCAAAATATATCCGTAGGATGATAAAGCACGTGTCTGAAACAGGTTATGAAAACAGCTGTTTGTTTTTTAGCATCTAGCAAAAAGGCTGTCTTTTTATCCAACCTTTTTAAGCAATGGCGATGTTCTTCCCGTCGTCTGCTCAGGACTTTGTAAATATTTTAAATTATAATATTACGCTTTTCTAAATCACTCCCTCGACCTTTCTTTTTGGCTCAGTGTTAGTTTGTCGGGGAAGAAAGCCGCAGGAGGACTTCTGGGTGAGGATTTCGGGAGGAGTGGTACATTTGCATAGTCACATTCTGTAGGAGAAATCGTAGCCAATGTGTCAGAGAGACTTGAGCCAAAGGTGTTCTTTCTGTGCGTCAAGAACACTGGCCCCACGTGCCCTTCTCTGCAGGAAGAAGGCTGGACCCTCAGTCTGGGTGCTGAGGCCCGAGCGGCGGGGCCCTTGGCGAGGGGAGAACCAGCTTGAAATGGGTTAGGAGGTCAGGGCAAGCCGGACAGTGACCTGAAGCCACGGGACTGAGACCCTGTCCGGCACCCGTGTCCCATGGTTTGTTGTGTGGAGAGCGAGGGCAGTGCTATCCCGACCACAGTGGCATGAGCAGCTGCCTAAAAATTACATTTAAAACCTTTACTTTTAGAAAATGATTCCACTCCTCCCTGCAAAGCCGGCGATGGGTTGATAGTCCCCTTAGAGTCTGCTGTTGCTCAGCGGATCTGAACCGTGCTCTCTGGGCTCCTGCGCATGAGCTGGAGAAGCCACAGGGGGACGGGGCTGTGTGTCTGCAGCGTGGTGCTTGCTAGGTGGTTTCCGGGAGTGTGTGCAGCGCGTGCATTCGTGTGCGTGTGCATGTGTGTGAGGCTCTGAGTGCGTGCATGTGTCTGCATGTGTGTGTGCGGCCGCACGTGTGCGTGCATGTGTTCTTATTATTCCCCCTTTTCTGAACTAGGAACCTGGATTCTAGGGGGCGCCTGGGGGGCTCAGTCTGTTGAGTGTCCGAATCAGCTCAGGTCATGATCTCATGGTTCCTGGGTTCGAGCCCCGTATCGGGTTCTATGTCCCCCTCTCTCTCTGTCTCTCTATGCTCCTTGCCCGCTCACATACACTCTCTCTCTCAAAAATAAATAAACTTTCTTTTAAAAAAATTTTTTTTTCTAGTGTTTTATTTATTTCTGAGAGGGAGAGACAGCGTGACCAGGGGAGGGTCAGCGAGAGAGGGAGACACAGAATCTGAAACAGGCTCCAGGCTCTGAGGTGTCAGCACAGAGCCTGACACGGGGCTCGAACCCACAAACCGTGAGATCATGACCTGAGCCGAAGTCGGACGCTTAACCAACAGAGCCACCGAGGCGCCCCTTAAATAAATAAACTTTAAAAAAAAATTTAGAAACTTGGTTCTAAAGTTCCCATGGATGGCAAAAAAGCAAGAGTAGCAGAAAATCTGTAAAAGATGAGTATTAAGGAGGGAGTGGTCCGACCTAATACTAAAACGTATTTTTAAAGCTATGGAAATTTTTTTTGTTTTCATATATTCTTTCCTTTTTGGGGGGCACAGTTTTGAGGTCAAACAGACCTACAATCAGTTGCAGTTAAGACACACGAGGCACACAGCTCGGTGAAGCTTGTGCATCTGTGAGCCCGTCTCCTGTGTCCAGACGAACATCTCCATCCATCCATCGGCACCGAAAGTCTCCTCTGCCCCCCGCCGTTCCTCAGTGCCGTGCTGCCCCTGAGCTGTCACCAGTCTGTTTTCTGTCACTGTCAAGGTTGTAGAAATTAAAGGTCATCGTACAGACACAACAGATAATGGACACACTAGAAAGTTGGACATAGACACGGTAAATGACGGAAATTTGTTTTATGATAAAGATGGCATTTCACATTAGTGGGGAAGAGAGGAATTCCCCAGTAGAGAATGACAGTTAGGTAAGCATCTGGGAAAAAAACCCAGCTGGACATGTGCCTCACAACCGAATCCGGGGCAGATCAGAGACTTAAAATAAATGGAACCACAATTTACTAAAGGAATTTTGGGGCAGTTTTTATAATAGCCTTGTATTGGGGAAGGCTTTCCTAAATTTGTTTCCAAACCCAGGAGCCATTTGTGGGAAAAGATTGAGAAATTTGAAAGATTGCTAAACATAAAAACGAAATCTTTTCTACATGACCTAAAATAACCATAGTGTTGAAAGACTGTGAAGATAATTGAAATTCATATCAGAGATAAAAGACTAATTTCTTTCATGTAAAAATATTTCCTGCAAGTCAGTAAGAAGAGAGATGGGTGTGGTGGCCATAGATTGTTCAGCAGAAATGTTTCCTAAACACGTGAGGTGTTCACACCCCCTCAAAGGAGGGATGTACACATTGCAGTTAGGAGGAAGCGTCTGTTAGCTGTCACGTCGACGGCGTCCAAAGGTGAGTCCCCCGTGGTCAGGGCTGGCCCCGCAGACACTGGAGCACCCTCTGTGGGGACCGTGGGCGGTGGCCAGCACGGGTACATGCACGTGCCCTCTGACCACCGTCTCAAGTCCAGATCTAGCTCATAAGTGAACCTGCATATGTGTGAAGTGACATGTGTGTCCCAGCAGAAGACCGCCTGAGGTGCCCTGGGGAGTGGCTCTGGGTGCGCATGTAATGGGAGGCATTCAGGGGACAGGTCCGGATGGTGGTGGCAGCATGTGCAGTCCACGTGTTCAGGGCAGGGTGCTGCATCTCAGGAGGGGGGTGCAGACACGAGTGCGTAGGTGCTAGGTGTCCGTGTCCTCAACAGAGGTGTTGATCTGCATCGTCCTTGCACACTGCTGTCTTCACAGCTGTACCTGGAATCCTCGTGGCAAACTTGGGGGTCGTCAGGTGGGACCATCTCAGTGTGCAAAGCAAGCCTGATGCACAGAGGTTCATCACCTTCCCTGCGGGCGCACAGCTGAAACGTCCCTTTGTTCACCAGTTTTATTTATTCAGTAAATGTTTGTTGATAGAAGTTTCTAGAATGATTGCCTGTCTGGGGCCCTGGGCAGGGAAGACTGGCTGCAGAGTGATGGGGTTGGAGGCGGCCTCTCACTTGGGAAAGTTTCTTACCGTCCGGGAAGCGGGAGGCAGAGCCCTGGGCCAGGGGCCGGGGTGGAGCCAGGGCTGCCGAGGCCTCCGCTCGCTTCGCATGCTCAACAGTGTCCCATTCTGTGTCCTGCTTTTGGTCTCTGAGTGTCTTTTCTGCTGATCCTGAAAAGTAAAAAATACATCGGGAGCCAGGTTTTGCAGGCCAGCGCCCTCTGAGAACCTGGGGCTGCAGGCGCGTGTCCCCAGATGCCCTGAGCTCAGAATTTCACGACCGTCCGGGGTTTGCCGGCCGCGCGCCCGCCCTTGGGATTGAACGCCGTGTTCCCGCTGCCCTGTGTTCAGGTGCTCTGTTACCTTCAAAACACATCTCAGCCTTCCTCTTTCATGTAGTTTTGACTTGTTTTCCTTTGCCCCTTGAGGGGTAAGGGATAAGACAGGAACTCAGGTTTCTGCTTGTTATGTAGAATAGAGCGATCTAGCTTGCCCTTGCCCTTGCCCTAGAAAAGTGGAGGCTTTCGTGTGTGTTTGGGTTTTGAATTACGTAACAGAAATCATCACATTGTTGATTCCTTCTAACCAGAACACGGGGTCTGCGATAAGCCTTGGTGACTAGCTAAGTTACTACAGTGCGTTGGAGACCTGACACTGAGAGGGTCTCTGTGAGCCGGCCGCGGGGGGCACCGCCCGCTGACCTGTTCCCTCTGTCTTTCTGCAGATGAACGTGTCACCTGGATCTCTGGCCATTCTTTACGAAGAGGACTTTAAACAGGACATGGCCGCCTTGAAGGTAAAGCATGTTGTTGAGTCTTCTCACCACAAGGGGGCGCCGTGAGCAGCGGAAGCCAGCGGGGCCGAACCTCAGCGCTTCACCCGCTGCAAGTCACTTCTCCTGTGCCTTCCATCAGGTTCTCCCCCCGACAGTGTACTTAAGAGTGACTGAAAATATTCCTCAGATCATTTCTTTCATCGAAGGAATAATTGCTAACGGGCATGCTTATTCGACAGCACAAGGTAGGGTCATACTGTTTAGTCATTGGGCTGGGGCGCCTGGGGCTCAGTGGGTTAAGCATCCGACTTCAGCTCAGGTCATGATCTCACAGTCGTGGGTTCGAGCCCCACGTCGGGCTCTGTGCTGACAGCTCAGAGCCTGGAGCTGCTTCGGATTCTGTTTCCTTCTCTCTCTGCCCCTCCCCCACTCACGCTCTGTCTCTCTATAATAAATAAAACCGTTAAAATAAGTAAATGAACTGATCGTTGGGTAACACCTGAGGGCTTGGAGGAACTGGGTGTGGGTGAGCGAGTTCTGGAGCAAAATCTGGACAGTCTCCTGTCTTTCTTGAGGTGACTCCTGCGTGAGGTGTGAGGCTTTCGTACAGCTATTGTGTCTTTGCGAGACTGTTGAATCAGTTCTCTTCAAAAGTATTTTGCACGGTCACAGGGGGAGGGGAACATCCGGAGGGCTGCCTAGAGTAGGGCGGCTGCTGCGTCCAGGTGACGGGCGCACGGGTGTTTTTTTGAGCCTTCATTCGCGTGGTTGCGAAACAGAAAGCTGGGTCTAGAGTCGCACATTTTGCTAAAGCCTAGCGCTCTGACATTCTCTGTGCGCGAGCCTGGTGTTTCTGAGGGCAGTGAAAGTGGGCTGTGACCATCCTGACCCTTCCACGTGCACCTCTGAGTAAGAGGGCGCCCCACGTGACCCGGGTCGTGATCCGACCAAGGTGCTGGTCCCTGACTCGTCCTGTCCTCCCCATATTCACCCCTGCACTTGTCCCTGACTCCTGCAGCCTGGTCTCCTGGCCGCTCACAGCCCAGGACTGTCCCTTCCATGCCTGTCACCACTGGTTAGCTGTTTGGGGAGGCCCTTCCTCTGGCCGCGTGTATGCGTGTGTATGTGTGTGTGTCAGATCCCTTCCCTCTGGCCGAGTTCTCCTGGCCTGGAAGCGGCTCTTCTGCCTCCGGGATGCCCTTTGCTCTCAGCTTGCCCCCCTTCCCCGTCCTTCCCGACCCAAGTCCCGCTCGTCCCGGGCACACCAGCCACAGCCCCTCCGTCGCGGGATGGTTCTTAGCGCTCGTGGCGGACAGCAGATTCACGGCCCAATTCTGGCGCTGGGGCTGTGCCAGTTGGTAGCTGGCCACGCACTGCCTGAGCTTGCCAGTCACGCTCTTGTGTTTTGTCACTTCTGGGGCCACAGAAACCTTGTGCTGTGAGGAATGACCCAGCAGCGCGCCCAGCCCGGAGTTGGGAGAAAAGTGCGTTGCAATGCTCGTTGTCAGGAAATAACAAATAAGTCACAAAGGATAAAGCTGAGGATACACACAGTGATAGACCCAGTGATAGGTCACTGGACTTCCGGACATAGGCACCCTTCTTTCAGGGGGTCCTGCCTGCCAGCACAGAGCCACATGAGGGGCCCCTGGGTCCCCAGAAACGTGCACTGCCTTTCTCAGTGACCTTTGTGTACACAAGAGCTTGTGTTTTTGGGTTTCTGGTTTTTGGTTTTTTACTGTACCTTATTTGCTATATTTAGATTTTGTTTCCAAGAAAAATTTGTCTTTAAGGGTCTCGGGTGACTGAACTGGAGTTTGCTCCAGAAAATACAGGCAGTGTCTCCCTGCTGCCGCTGGGAAGTAATGCTCATAGGGGCTGAGGCTTGCATCCCCACGCGCTTCATCGCTTGTTCTGTGTTTTCCTGTCAGTTTTGAGTACTAACCATGAAAGTGTGATGAACCTTAAAGTAAGTGGGCATTGACTCAAACTCCATCAATTGGAACTTTTCAACAATTCCATAAAGTCTTGGTTGTGGTTTGAGTTTTGATTTCTTCGAAGAAACAGTCCAGGAAATTGATAACATGGACAGAGATGAGAAACGTCTCCTTTGTGAGAGGGAGGGAGAGAGCGAGCGAGCACGTGCAGTCTCTCTTACGAGGCGTGGTGGACAAGCGGCCCCACGGCGTCCCCACTCACCCCCGGTGTAACCCGCGCTCCCGGCCATGCTCTGGGGGAAGAGGACCGGCCAGGGTAGCACCCAGCCCCCTGGGGCCTGTGCCAAGCCCCCTCCCTCCCCCCCACCCCGTCGGGATAGAGATCTGAGGTCGTGGTCCCGACCTCTGGGCACATCCTGAAGCAGCCCCCTGGGGAGGGGGGTTCCTGCCGCAGCACCCACTTCCCCCGCTCCGTCGGTGCGCATGTGCAGGTGTGTGGGCTCCCGGGGAAGAGGTGGTCGTAGACATTTCTGGGCTAACATGGGGCTCCTTTGTTGGCCGTGAGCCCAGAGCTGGACGCAGGGGGCTGATAACGTTCACTTTCCCTCTCGTGGGAAAGAACCGTCTCCACATCTGACACACATCATACGCTTGGGTGTTCACCCCCCGCTCAGGACATTCGTCATGTGTGCAGATGCGTGCTCTTATGGAGTAGTGGCAGTGGCGCGAGTTCTATTAGAATAATGGGGCCGTGTGAAGGCCAGATGCCGTAGCCTGGGTCTGCGTCCTGACGCCTTGTAGCTCCCGAGCACGTAGAGGCTCATGCCTCGGACCGAGAAATGAGGATTCCTAATCACTCTTATAAAACAGGCAATGTCTACTTCGATCTTCCATCCAGAGGAGACCGGTACGGCAAGCTCGTGGGCGTGGTCCCCGGTCCCAGCGCGGAGCCAGGTGGGTGTCTCCCCCACTCCCCCCAGCCTCGGGCTCGGCCTCCCCCTCCCCTGTGCTCGGGCCCATCCCAGCTGTGTCCTAATTAAGTCACTGTTTTCCACGAGAGGAGATCTGCGGAGTCTGGGACTCCAGGTCCCCCAGCCCTTCCCCCGGAGAGCACACGTTCACGGTGTCATGACTCCCCGCTCCCCTCCACCCTGCCTGCGTACTCTGCTCTGTGTGTACTTGGCCACACGTTACCTCCCCGTAGGTATTTAACCATATGTGCTACGCTCCTAGGGGATTTTCATCTCGTCCTATACCCTCTCCTGTTCCAGTGACTGTTAGACCGAAGTTATTTTTTTTTTATGTTTTATTATTCATTTTTAGGAGAGAGAGAGAGACAGAGCATAAGCAGGGGAGGGGCAGAGACAGAAGGAGACACAGACTCCGAAGCAGGCTCCAGGCTCCGAGCTCCGAGCTGTTAGCACAGAGCTCAAACTGGGGCTCGAACCCGCAAACCGTGAGATCATTCATGACCTGAGCCGAAGTTGGACGCTTAACTGACTGAGCCACCCGGGTGCCCCAGACTGAAGCTATTTTTATGAAAAAGAAATATGTATACAGAAGTAAATTTAAAATAATTTTAGGGGCGCCTGGGTGGCTTAGTGGCTTAAGTATCCGACTCTTGATTTCAGCTCAGGTCATCATCACGGTTTGTGGGATCGAGCCCCACATTGGGCTCTGTGCTGATGGTGTGGAGCCTGCTTGGGATTCTCTGCCTCTCTCTCTCAGCCCCTCCCCTGCTCTCACTCTCAAAATAAATAAACTTAAATAAAAATAAAATAATTTTAAAAGGATACTATTTAGAAGAACCAAATACAAGCAAAAACCCGAAAGCCAAATTGTCCAAGTCCTGTCTGTCCTCTGCCCTATAACAACGCCGTTTAAGTTTAATTACTGACAGTATTATTCGACTCCTCACAGATGCTGTTACTAGTATCCTGCTCCCCTTCTTAAAGGCCAGGACCAAGGACCGCTGGGCGGGTCACATGTTCGTAGGTGCTGTGCCCCCCGGAGTCTGAGGACGGGCTGCGAGGACACACACATTCCAGCATCAGCAATGCTTCTGTGTGTTAACAGACTTTATTTTTTAGGGCACTTTTAGGTTCACAGCAAAACCCAGGGGAGGGAAGCAACAGAGATTTCCCACGTTCCCCTGCCCCGACTCATGCATAGCCTTCCCCGTTATCAATGTCACCCACCAGAACAGGACATTTGTCACAGTGGATGGACCCGTGTCACGCACCATCACCCAGAGCCCACGGGTTACACCGGGGCTGATGCCTGCTGTCATACACTGTTCGGGGCTGGACAGGTGCATAGTGACACGTCTCCACCATGACATTGTCACCCAGAGCCACCTCCCTGCCCTCACCATCCCTGTGCCCCTCCCCCCCCAACCCTGGCAACCGAGGATCTTTTATCATCTGCTGGTCGCGCCTTTTCTAGAAAGCCAGCACGTGGAAATCTACTCTGTGGCCTTTTCAAACTTCCTTTTTTTCACTCGATACACATTTAAATGAAGATGTGCATTTAAGCCACTAGGCCCCACCAGGACTCGGGCAAGGGCAGAGCCCCTCGGGGACAGGGGACTCCCTGCCACGTCTCTTCACAGCTCGATAGCTCGTTTCTTTTTAGTGTCATGGAACATTCTGTTGTCTGGCTGAGCCCGGTTTATCCACTCGCCTGTCAGGGGCATCTTAGCTGCCTCGGGTTGTGTGACAGAGAGCGCGCCCAGCACTGGCTCCTTGCACAGCGTTGTGTGAGCACCTGGCCCCCCTCTGCCGGGTTTTCTTCTCCAATGTGACGCATAGTCTGGTTTTGGGGGGGGGGGGTGTTGTTGTATAATTTTCCTTGTGGGGAAACGTTACTCTGAAACTCATTTGCTGGCAAACACGGCTTTCCCCACGAGAAGAAGGCAGAGAGAGCTCAGCTCGGGGCAGCCTGGGAAGAGGCCTCAGTGTTCGAGATCTGAAATCTCGACTCGCTCTCTTGCTGGGACTGGTCTCCCCTCCACGGTGAGACCTCCCAGCCCGGCGGCTTTTATTTATTTTTTTAACATTTATTTATTTTTGAGAGACAGTATGAGTGGGGGAAGGGTAGAGAGAGAGGGAGACACAGAATCTGAAACAGGCTCCAGGCTCCGAGCTGTCAGCACAGAGCCCGACGCGGGGCTCGAGCTCACAAATCGTGGGTTCGTGACCTGAGCCAAGTCGGATGCTCAGCCGACTGAGCCCCCAGCCGCCATGAGGGGCAGGAGAGTGACCGAGACGTGAGGCCCCCAGCGAAGCAGCCGCGTCCGTGGGACGCGCTCCCGCCTCCGGCCGGAAGCGGCGCCCTGTAGGTCTGCCCGTCCGAGGCTCTCGCCCCTGATGGGTCGCTTGGTCTCTCGCCAGTTGACTCTGACAAGCGGCACCCCAGCGACTTTGCCCTGTGGAAGGCGGCCAAACCCCGGGAGGTGTTCTGGGCCTCTCCCTGGGGAAACGGAAGGCCTGGCTGGCACATCGAATGTTCCACCATCTCCAGGTGAGGTTCTGTGTTGCCGGGCGGGGCGGGCACGGGGGGGGGGCGCTGACCGCTCCGGGCTCGGGAGGAAGGGAGACCAAGCCCGGCGCAGCGTCAGCGCCTCCGAGATGAGGACCCGGCGGTCCCCCCCGCCGGCCCCAGGCTCCCTTCCACCCGCTGCTTCGGACGCACGTGCTTCGGGGCATCTGCTGTCTCCCCAAGGGCAGACGCCCCGCTTCCTAACGCCCTCCTGGCTCGCCCGGGGCCGCGCTGCTGGGTTTTCAAATTCTAGGCTTTTCCTTCCCGCTGGTTGTAGGGCCTCTGTCCGCTTCGAAGCCGAATGCGCGGGGGCCGGCGCGCAGGTCTGTCCGCCGCGCGTCTGCCGCCCCGGGACCCCCGGCCGGTCAGCCAGGCCCTGCCCTGCCCCCGCTGTGAGGCGGCCCCTTCTCCGCCTCAGCTGTGGCGTCCCTGGGTCGTTCCCGCGGCGGCGTCTGCGGGCCCTCCCACCCCTCCGGCCTCTCTGGGGCCGCCCTCCTCGCGCTCGCTCTCTTCACCGACCTGCTCCCCAGGGATGGTTCTGGGTCGGACCCATCGGGCACCACTCCAGCTGCAGAACCTCCAGATTCCGCTCTTGGGGGGGGGCGGGGATGAGAGGGAATGAACGCGCAGGGGAGGGGCTGACGGAGGGGAGAGAATCCCACGCGGGCTCCGGGCTCCGACAGCCTGGACTCACGAAACGGGAGAGCATCGCCTGAGTCACGGTCAGGACGCTGAGCCCCCCGCGCCACGTCTGCTTCCGTTCGCACCATCTGCCCTGGACTCGCCGTCGTCCCCGGGCGTCCCCGGGCGTCCCCGCCGGCTCCGGGCTCCTGAGGTCACGTGGCCCCCGGCTGGTCAGCGCCCCGCCGTCCGTGCGCCTGCCCTCCCCTTGGCTTCTGGGAAACTACGTTCTTCTGGTTTTGGAGTCTGTGCCGGGGCCGCCTCCACCGTCCCACCCCCTGTGTAGACGGGTCCTTTGACTTCCCACAGTTCTGCAGGGAGCGAGACGCCCGCGTGCGCGCGCCCTTCTGGCCGGCCGCGGCTCGTTCCCTCGTGCGTCCCTTCAGATGCGAGGTTTGTGGCGCGGGTCGATTGGCACCAAGGGCGTTTGCACACCTCGTTTCTCTGTGTCACAGTTTGGTAGTTCTCGCAGTAGTCGGAGCTTTAGTGACCTGCGATCAGTGCTGTTTGGGGCAGGAGAACCCCGCCATGGCACGTGTGCGCTCGGGCCGCTCCGCAGCCTGGCTGCCCGGCCTCCCTCCCTCTCCCTGGGCCTCCCTGTTCCCCGAGACTCAGCAGTCTTGAAATGACGCCAGCTGATCAGCCCGCAGTGGCCGCTGTGTGTTCAAGTGAAAGGTAGAGTCACACGTCTGTCACAAAATTTTTTTTAACGTTTTATTTACTCTTGAGAGGGAAAGCATGAGTTGGGGAGGGGCAGAGAGAGGGAGACACAGAATCTGAAACAGGCTCCAGGCTCCCAGCTGTCAGCACAGAGCCGGACACAGGGCTCGAACCCACGAACGGTGAGATCAGGACCTGAGCCGAAGCCGAAGGCGGCCGCTTCCCTGAATGAGCCACCCAGGCGTCCTGTGTCTCTTACTTTAAATCGAAAGCTAGAAGTGCTTAAGCTCAGTGAGGAAGGCTTGTCAAGGCTCAAGACGGGCCAAACACTTGGCCCCTCGTGCTGAACACTTAGCTGCTTTGCGAACGTAGAGAAAAGTTCTTGAGGGAAATGGAAAGGGCTAGAAAGTGCTATTCCAGTAAACACGTGAGCGATAAGAAGGTGACGCAGCTTCACTGCCGATACAGAGAAAGTTAAGGCATCTGGGTAGAAGGTCACACCGGCCACAACATTCCCTTCAACCGAACCTAATCCGGAGCGAGGCCCTGACTCTCCAATTCTGTGAAGGCCGGGGGATGTGAGGAAGCTGCAGAAGGGAAGTCTGAGGCTGGCTGAGGTTTGTTCCTGAGCTTTAAGGAAAGAAGCTGTTTCTGTATAAAGTGCAGGATGGAGCAGCGAGTGCTGGTGTAGATGCTGCTGTGAGCTGTCCAGGAGGTCCAGCTAAGACCCTGAATGGAGGGGCTGCATCGAACAGCAGATGCTCAGTGTAGACACACCTGCCTGTCGGAAGAAGGTGTCATCTTGGACTTTGTAGCTGGAAAGAAGTAGTCAGTGCCTGGCTTCACAGCTCCCAAGGACAGGCGACCCTCTGGTTAGGGGCTGGCGCAGGCAGCTGGCAACGCTAAGTGGAAGCCAGTACGCACCTGCCATCCCTGCAGTCCTGGGGCCCCGAAGAATTATGCCGAATGGACGCTGTTCTGTAAGTTGGATGCCAAAGCCCGGATGACAGCACATCTGTTTACTACATGCTTTATTGAATCTCGTAAGCCTGCTCTTGAGACCCACTGCTTAGAGGAAAGAATGCCTTTGCAAACATCCCTGCGCACGGACGGCACACCTGCTCCCCCCCAGAGCCGCGATGGAGCCGCATGAGATCAGCGCGTGTTCGCGCCTGTCAGCCCAGCATCCGTGCTGCAGGCCGTGGGCCAAGGAGTAATTCCAACCTTCAAGTCTTATTAGTTAAAAAGTACGTTTTGTAAGGCTGCAGCCCTAACAAGTGATTCCTCTGCCAGATCTGGGAAAAGTAAACTGAAAACCTTCTGGAAAGGCTCCCCCATTCTCGGTGCCCCGAGAACATTTGTGATTCGTGGGATGAGGTCAGATAGAAAGCGGAGGAGTTCAGAAGACATTGATCCGACGTCATGGAAGACCACGAGGGGCTCAAGGCCTTGAGGGGCAGTCGGTGCAGGCATGGCGGAAACAGCGAGACCCGGAATGGGGGCTGGAGATGGGACTGAATGGCTGCATCTCAGGGTAAGACCTGAATGGTTGACGAGTTGCTTCTTAAGGATCAAAGAATGTGGCTTCTGTTCCTGGTGGAGATGCCATTTGGTGAAATGGCAACAATCATTCATGAAAGTGACTGTGTCATAAACCGAGGGGACGAGCTGCGGCCGGGTCTGAGGGAATTCTGAAAGGAGTTCCGTGGGCAAAATGCTACCAAACAGCATCTCCTAAAGCAGGAGTCATTCTTGGGTGGAGGAGTCCATTGATGTGGCCAGTTTTGTTGTTGTCTTTAAGACCCCGCCATGGCCACCCCAGCCTTCGTCGGCCGCAGCCCCAACAGGTCAGCAGCCACCACCATCAGACAGGACTCTCTGCCGGCAAAAAGGTCACCGGCCACTGACAGTCCACGTGGTGGTTTGCATTTTCAAGCAATAAGGTGTCTCATCGGCACTGTGCAGACGGAGTGCTGCTGCACACTTAACAGACGACAGCATGGTGGGAACAGTCGTACGTGCTGGGAAACCAGAAGGGCCGCCTGACTGGCTTGCGGTGCTCCAGTTACTGCGGTGGCTGAAACCGGCCTGCGGGCTCTCCTGGGCGTGCCCGCGACACCCTTTGTCCCTCAGTGCCATGTCCCTGGGGCCGCCTTCGTGGTTCTCGAAGCCTGTCCCTGCCCATGGCCTCACAGTGCTGGGTTCTGTGGGCGCGCTGGTCAGTCAGCTAGGACCCTGCAGATGCGCATTGGGCCCCAGTGTTTTGTTCTTAGAAATACCTGCAATGAACTGCTTCGCGTATTTATTTCCGGGGGGGGGGGGGGGGGCTTTTTAGTGTCGTTAGGAACCATGATTTTCAAACATTTGGTCTGTTTCCCTTCATTGCAGACATTTATTATAACAAGCGGTTTTAAAGATTAGAAACATGGCGCCTGGGTGGGTCAGATACTTAAGTGTCTGACTTCAGCTCAGGTCATGATCTTGGTTCAGGTCATGATCTCACAGTTTGTGAGTTCGAGTCCCACACTGGGCTCTGCGCTGACAGCTCAGAGCCTGGAGCCTGCATCTGATTCTGTCTCCCTTTCTGCCCCTCCCCCACTTGCACTCTGTGTGTGTATGTCTCTCTCTCCCTCAAAAATAAACATTAAAAAAATTAAAACCTGTATATTATATCCAGAGCAAAGAGAATTAAGCCTCTTTGCTAGGATGTAAAGCTATGAATCGGGGATCTATGAAATAAAAACAATTTCCATTTCCCTTTTTTGCATCAGTTGCACTATCACACGTACTGATTTTACGTGGAGTTGCATTTGCTCATTGCACCAAGGTGGGGAGGGCTGGCCGCCCGCGGGGCCAGGGAGGCACCGTGTGAACTAAGTCCCCGCACACACTGTCCTGCAGCCTGGTGTTTGGAAGCCGGCTGGACATCCACTCGGGTGGGGCGGACCTGGCCTTCCCGCATCACGAGAACGAAATCGCCCAGTGCGAGGCCTTCCATCAGTGCAGGCAGTGGGGAAACTATTTCCTGCATTCCGGTAAGTCGTGACTTCAGAGTGCTCTGCTCTGTTTCACTGCTGTCCCTTGTGTCCCTTGTGTTTGTTGGTGAAACAGCATTTTGGAAAGACACAGATCAGTTGGCAGGGGAAGAAGCCGTTCTCTCTCGAGGTGTTTGGGTTGGAGTCTGCTGGACGTGAACTTCCTGGGGCTGGACGGGAGTTCCGGGTGCGGCGGGGCTGACGAGCACGTCGGAACGTTCTCTGTTGCTGGGGGGGGGGGGTGCCTTCCAGAGGCGCTCTGCCATCTGACACACGAGGCCAGGCCTCGCCCACTCTGGTGTCGTGACCCCAGCCCCGAGGCTGCCTGGCCCGAAGTGTGTCCACTGCTGTGCTTCCCTCACCCCCCTCTGCCCCCTGGAGCGGCCCCGACGGCCGCCGTGGGCCCTGGAACGCCAGGGCCCGTTTCTGCACCGCCTTAAAGGAGTGTGGAGCCCGCAGGGGCGGGGCAGGCGAGCTGCTGTCTGGTCCCCCGCCCTGGACGGAGCCCAGCAGGGCTGAGCCCCGCGTCTCCAGGCGGCGTGCACGCTGGCGGCCCCCCAGGGAGAGGACGGGAGCCCGGGGACCCCGTGTCCACCTGCGGCTCGTGCTGCCCGGGAGCCTCAGAAGTGACCCCCAGAGCCCAGTGTAGTCCACATTCGAAGGGGGGGGGGCCCTCGAGCCTCCCTTGGGCCTGGGGACTCGAGAGGAAGGCCCGCGGAGTGGGTGTGCACAGGGCCTGCTGGGCAGGGCGCCTCCGAGGGCTGAAGCCCGTGTCCCGTCCCGGGTCAGCTGTCTGGGGGCCTGACGCCCCTCATGTGTCCTTGTCATGCTCTTGGTCACCTTCAGTCGTGTCCTGCACCCGTTAGTGAATGTGGGCCCGGGGGCCGGAAGGGGACAGCGCACCAGCGCCCCGTCTCCCTCCAGGAGTTATTCACCCGGTGTCTGGGGCTCACTCCTGGTCTGGGGACAGAACAGGGCCTTTGTTGCTGTGTCGTTAGGACTTTGACAGACTACTAAGGGGTAGGCTCTCTGCCACTGCGCCGTCCCCGTCCTGGAGGGACATCAGTGCCTCCTGACACACAGGGTCACGCTCTTCGAAGTAAACGAATGGAAGATAAGTAAGTCGGGTGTATTTCATTTTCTAAATATTGTCAATTTAAAAAGCTGTGGGCAGCACCTGGGTGGCTCCGTTGGTTGAGTGTCCAACTCCTGATTTTAGCTCAGGTCACGGTCCCACGGTTTGCGGGATTGAGACCCGAGTTAGGCTCTGCGCTGAGAGTGTGGATCCTGTTTGGGATTCTTCCTCTCTATCTCTGCCCACCTCCCCCCCCCCCACACACACACGCGTGCTCTGTCTCTCAAAATAAACTTAAAAAGAAAATAAATTTTAGTTAAAAAATAAGTAAATTTTAAAGTTTATTTATTTATAATCTCTACTCCTGACAAGGGGCCTGAACTCACTACTCTGCGATCAAGAGTTGCATGTCTCCAGCTGAGCCAGCCAGGAGCCCCTAATAGTTTTCACTGTGTGGCAGATAAGGTTACGTGACACTATGCATTGGAGGGTATGTTTGTTTGGAAGCCACGCGTTACCCCTTCTCAGAACTGGCCTTGGGGCACCCTGTGCTCGAGGTCCCCTCAGAGGTGGCGGAGGCCCCCCCCCCCCACCCAGAAGGAAACCCTGTGAAAGTACCAGACTGAGGAGCTCCTGACATGGCTCAGTGTCTTCCCGTGTCTCATACTCGCAGGGGTGAGAGGGCCCCGGGCCCTCGAGAAGCCTGTGCCGGCAGAGCGCGGCACAAAATCTCGTCAGTCATTCTGAAAACCAGCACGCATTGCTGGGCGCGGGGTCTGCAAACCCAGGCTCTGTCCTTCCCCGGGTGAGGGGTCCCCAGGATGGGAGGGGGCAGACCTGACCACCTCAAGCAGGTGCGGCTGTGGGTTCCCTCTTCCTGGGGGGCCCCGAGTGTGGGCGAAGATCTGGGAGGGGGGGTGAGCGTGGGCAAAGGTCTCTACTACCCTCCCCCGGGTCCCCCCCTTCGGAACAAATCACTGTTTTTGTTCCAGGGCACTTGCACGTGAAAGGCAAAGAAGAAAAAATGTCCAAGTCGCTGAAAAACTACATCACTATTAAGGTAACCCCGCACGCTGGCCTGTCTGCAAGGCCCCGCCGCGACCCCAGGTCTCTGACCCCCGCGCTCCCCGCCCTTGTTTCACGGTCCGATAGGCTTCTCCTGCCTCCCAGCTCTCCGTGCTGCCTGGTGGAGGAGGCATCGGTGCTCTCCGGGCCGGCCTCCCCACGGGCGCCTGGCCCCCCCCACATGCCGGGACGCACGCCCCCTTCTTGCCCGAGCCCTTCCCCGCCCGGTCGCCCGAGTCACACCTGCCATCTGCCCCGCTGGCCTGCGGCCTTGGGGCTTCGCTGCTCCCTGGCTTCGGAAGCCACCTGTTGAGAAAGGCATCGGCGTGCGTGGGGGCGAGGGGCGGGAGGTGGGCGTCCACACGGACGGGGAGCCAGTGGCTCCCCAGGACAGTTAGCAGGCCTTTGTCCGCTGAGCACCAGCCAGGAGAGCTGTCCCCACCAGCCCCTTACCCGGGCTCTCTAGCCCCTCACTGCGTCACATGCCTGTGGCACTGCTTTCCTGTCATCCCAGGGGGCATTTGTCATCTCACAAGAGGGGCGAGCACAGGACCAGAAGGGATGTGGACAGGGACGGAGACGGAGGCCACGTTCACTTACGTCACAGTATCTTGTCACAGCTGTCCTGTGGTTAGCCTCCGGCTGTGCCTCGGTTATAATTAAATGCTGTGACGGCCGTGTCAGCCCCGGGGGCCTGTTATAGCCACGTGGGCCCTGGGAGGCGAGGGTCAGGTTAACCCAGGGGACGGGCCCCGCCCCCGCCCCCAGGGAGCCCCCCTGGTCCTCGAGCAGGGTCCCGGCCACCAAGCCCCCTCAGCTGGGACATGCAGTCACTGGCCGAGGGGAGGCTGGAGACCACCGCTAGATGTGAAGGGCGGAGAGCGTCCCTTTTGCTCACACAGAGTCCACGACACGGGGACATCTGCCCCAAGCCCCACGTTGTCCGAGGGTCCCGTGGAAGCCGGCCTGTGCTCGGTGTGGGCCCCGCGGGCCGGGGCTGAGTGTCCGGGCAGGCCGAGCAGCGCCCAGAGGCCGGCCTGTCCTTGCGTCCCTGCCGGTGAGGTCGCCGAGCGCCTCTCACCAGCCTCCACAGACAGGTTTAGTGAACCTGGGGCTGTTCTAACAAGTTCTGCAACAGGTTCTTGGGCGCCTGGGGGCTCAGTCGGTTGAGCGTCGACTTCGGCTCAGGTCATGATCTCACGGTTCATGAGTTCGAGCCCCACATTGGGCTCTGTGCTGACAGCTCAGAGTCTGGAGCTGCTTCTGATTCTGTCTCCCTCTCTCTGCCCCTCCCTTGCTCGTGAGCTGTCGCTCTCAAAAATAAATAAACCATTAAATAAAATGTAAAAAGAATTTAAATGACAGTTTTCCTCAGGCTAACCAGGGGCGGTGGAGTGCCCTCTGAGATCACAAGCTCGGTGTCTGCCTCACCGCGGTGCCTCAGAGGATGAGCTGGCCTCTGCCCTCGGTCTGACCCTGACCCCAACTCCGACCCCGGCTTGTTTTGATGTCCTGGAGCGGAAGCCGCCCACCATCGTGGGGCCTGTGTCACCAGGCTGTGCCCATCCTCGGAGGACCGTGTTGTGGGAAAGGGGTCCCAAGGTCGACATCGGTGTGGGCCCTGCGTCAGCCCAGAGCAGGGGCCCTGCCCGCAGATGCAGCCTGAACAGGGAAACGTGTGGGGAACGTGCAAATAGGCCGCGTGTTCATAAAACCCCCGAAGCCGGTCAGTGACGTGGGCCCACGTGGTCGTGGCGCACGTTGTAATTTCCGTTTCTCCCCGATTTCTCCGCCAGGACTTCCTCAAGACGTTCTCCCCCGATGTCTTCCGGCTCTTCTGCTTGCGGAGCGGCTACCGGTCAGGTGAGGCTGCGGCGGGGGACGAGCCGGGCCCATGGCACCCGGACCCGGGCTGGGGAGGAAGCACGGCCCTGTCGGTGTGGCTGCCCCTGTGCCCGCGGCTCGGGTTCCCAGTGCAAGCCCAGCTCTCGGCCCAAGATTCTGGAAGGCCGTGGGTCTTCAGTCAGCCCCCGCTCTCCTCTGTGGGTCTGGACGGGGGGCCCGGAGACCCCCACCCAGGGGACAGCGTGTTCTCACTGTAACACGCAGAGTTTGGGGGCCTGTCCTGGAACGCAAGCCTGAGGTCCCCGCCTCTGGCTGACGCCCCAGCAGTGAGTGGGGGCCCAGGATCCTGTCTGTGGGCACGAACCCCACGGCCAGGCGTGCTGGGGGTGGTTCTCCGTGTCTTCCAAGGCGGTGAGGTGGTGAGGCCCAGGTCGCGGCGGACCCTGGCGGTCCCAGGTAGCAGGGTGGCTGTGGTATCGTGTCCCCTGTGTGGCTTCTGGCCGCAAGGTGACCGTGCGTCCCCCCCTCAGCCGTGGACTACAGCGACGGCACCATGCTTGAGGCCAGCCACCTCCTCCAGGCAGCAGCCGCGTTCGTCGAGGACGCCCGGGCCTACATGAAGGGGCAGCTGGTGTGCGGCCCCGTCAGGGAGGACGTGCTGTGGGAGAGGTAGGAGCCCCCGGGCATCCGCCCCCGTGCTGTGGGCGCCGGATGCGGGGCTGCTGAGGGGGCGAGGGGTGGTCCTGTGGGGAGGGGCGAGGATGCCCTGGGGGAGGGTGGTGCAGGGGTGAGTGACACACAGAGGTTCTGGTCGCCTTGCTGCGCCGCTCGGCAGGGCTGGCGGGCACGGAGGGGGGTGGCCTTGGTGGCTGAGCTCAGACCTGATCAGGAGTTGACTTGCGAGTCTGCATCAGCGCGTGCCCCGCCCCACTGTCGTACGCGGGCGTCTATGGCGCAGGGCAGCCGAGGGTAGAGTAGGAAGGGGGGTGTGGGGGCCGCAGCCTCCACGTGGAAACCGTGTGCCTGGCTCCGCTGCTTCATTAAGTGGCTAAACGTGTTCAGAAGACCTGGGTTTGACGTCAGATGGCGAGGAGCGGAGAAGCCGGGAAATGTTTGGTTAGGAGGCAAAGCGGCAGAGCCTCTGGGACAGGCATGGGGGGGGGGGGGCTTGGCGCCATCAGCAAGATGCAGCGGCCGTCCAGTCGGTGGGAGCAAGGGGCGGGCGGACCCCTCTTTGCCTGGGGCGCGCTTACCGCCAAGCCTGGTGGAGGGGAGGTCGAGGCTGTTGGGCGCTCAGGGGAGGCCAGGTTGTGACAAAGAGCCCTGCCTGTGGCCTGTCCTCCCTTCCCGGTCACTCGGCGCCAGGCTGGACAGCAGCCACCGCCCTACCCCCAGGACTGCGGGCCCCCAGAGGGGTGAGGGTCGGGGCTCTGCCGCCCCAGCTTATGCTGCTTGCAGTGCCGGAGGTGTCCTGGGGCTCCGCCTGCCTGGAAATCGGGGAGTTCGCAGGAGGCGGGGTGACGAGCAGTATCGGTGGACAGCAGGGACCCCGTCTGCAGACAGAGCTCGTGTGGAGGTGGCAGGCGTGCAGGAGGGAGGAGGGCCTTCGGCCACGCAGACCCCGCCCGCCCCTGGCAGGGCTGTGGCACCAGACAGACGCGGCGGAGAGTGCAGCCGGGGGTGGGGAGCAGGACGCACTCAGAGCCCGGGGGCCCGGGTCCAAGGGGCCGCCGCACCCCAGGGGCTCTGCCCAGCTGCCCGCAGGCAGGTGCGGCCCACTGGGTGGGGGATGGGCGCGAGCCGCCTGCCCGGCCCTGAGATGGACCGCGGGACCCGGGGCCACCCTCCCTCCGAGGACCAGGTGTCCTGCCCGCGGGCTCCGGGGGAGGGGGGCGGGGGAGGGGGGCTGACCTCGTGCTGTCCTTCCCTCCAAGCCCGCCCAGGGCCTCCTGTGCGGAAGGCCTGGCGGGAACACTTCCCCCTCCCCACCGCGTGCCTACACCCTTACCAGACGCCCCCGCGCACAGGGGCTGTTCACACCCGGCTCGAGGGGCTCCCGTGGGGTTCTCGGGAGGGGCGTCGGTACTGGATGGCGCCTGCTGCGGGCCGGGCGGGGGCTGAGGAGCGCCGTTTCTCCCCCAGGCTCCGCCACACCAGGGAGGCGGTGAGGGCTGCGCTGGCGGACGACTTCGACACGCCCGCAGCGCTGGACGCGGTCACGGCCCTCATCCACCGCGGGAACGCAGAGCTGCACGCGCCGCGCACTCAGGTAGTTGCGGGGCGCGGCCTGGGCAGGGCTGCGGTGTGGGGGCTCTCCCTCTGCAGGAAGGCAGGGACGCCACCTCCCGGGGCACCCGGCGGCCCCAGGCCTCCCCTGACTCCTGGGGCCGCTTCGTCCTGCATGGACTTCCCAGCGCAGGGGTCACATGCACAGACAGGCAGCGTTGTGTGTTTGCTGATACTCGGGGGAACCCGGGGCTGCTGGGACCTGAGGGGGGCGGGGGGCGGTGTGTTGGGACCCTAACTGCGCCCACCCAGCCTGGCCCTTCTCTGGGCCTTGGCACCAACCCCATGGGTGAGACTCTGTCCCCGTGAGCCGGTGACCTCCCAGAGACCCTCCTGCTGACAGCATCACATGGGAGGCTAGGTTTCAACATGAGATTCTGGGGGACACGAGCACTTGGACCCTAACAGGCCCCCTCGTTCCAGAAGGGCAGACTGAGGCGCAGGGGTTACGTGGCTTCCCCGGTGTGCAGCAGGCGGGGGAGGGGCAGCTGCGGGGCTGAGGCCGGGGTCCTCCCTGCACGGGGGCCTGAGGCCGGCCGGGCAGTGGCCTGCCAGCTCTCTGTTCCACATCACTTCCTGCGCCTTTAAAGCGCCTCCTCTGGGGGGTCTGTCCCAGGAGCCCCGCGGCCCCAGGAGTCCCGCCGTGTTTGGCTCCCTCGTGTCCTACGTCGAGCACTTCTTCGAGACCGTCGGCATCTCTCTGCTGGACAGACAGGTACTCCCTGCTCTTTTCGGGCCTCACTTGTGGGATCACTTGGGCAGGGACAGCCGTGTCCTCCCCTTTTAAAATGTTCATTTCAGTGGATAAGTGTGTTGAACTCATTTACGCGCTTAAAACACGTTCTTTAAAAAGGGAAGAGGCTTAGAGCCGGCGTCTTCCTGCCGGAAGCTGCGGGAAGCCCACGTGGCCGCCACGGTCGCTTCTGCACACGTGGTCTCGAGCCGACTTTGAAAGACTCAAAACGCAGTTAGGTGCACAGAGGGCAGCTGCCGGCCGAGCCCCTCGAGCCCTTCGGCGTCTCCTGTTCCGCCCCCCCCCCCCCCCCCCCGCCCGCTGCATGGACAGCCTCCCCCTCGGGCAGCCATCCACCCGCACCCCCTCCAGGGCCCCCACCCCCGCCCCGCCTGACGGCTTCAGGACTGCGAGCAGGGAAGGAGGGGCAGGTCTGGGCCGCAGACAGGCGCGAAGGTCATGCGTGTGCTCGGGCCGCTCGCTCTTCCCAGACTGTGCTGCCGAGTAAGAGGCCTGCCCGGCCCCCTCCCCACCCTCAGCTGCTGGCACCGACTCCCGCCGGGGCTCACGTTTCCGTAGCAGAAAACGCCTATTGTGGAAGCAAGTGAGGCCAGGGGAGGACTGAGCAGCTGGACCCCCGAGCTGCAGGGTGTGCGTCACGCCACACCTGTAAACCCAGCCGCTAGGCTCCCTTCCCCGTGAGAAGTCGTGTCGGTGGGAGACGACTTCCGGCGGCTTCAGATCCACAGCTGAAATTCCCCCCCAGGACAGGGAGTGTTGGCCTGTGTGTGAACCGCGTGTGAGGCCCATGCGGTTTTGAGCATCTGGTTAGGGGGAGCGGGCCCGGGTTCGTTAGTCAGTGTGCTGTGGGCTTCCCGACTCCGGGCAGCAGCGGGAGCTCTGCAGGGTGGCCCAGCCGTGCGGGACTGGGACCCAACCCGGGAGGCCGCACACCCCCACCGGGCCTCGCTGACCGCGCTCCCCTGGGTGCAGGTCGCCTGCGGGGACGGCGGCCGGGCGGCGCTGCACAGCGTGCTGGAGGAGCTGGTCCGCTTCCGCCTCAAGGTCCGGCAGTTCGCGCTGGCCAGCGGTGCGGCCACCAGGGAGGCCCGGCGGCCCCTGCTGGAGGCGTGCGACACTCTGCGCCAGGACCTCGCCGCCCACGGCATCAGCATTAAGGTGAGTCACTGCGGTCGGCCCGAGGTCCCGTGCAAACCAGGCGGGCGCACGCGGATGCTGAGCGGTCTGAGCGAGACCCCGCTGTGCTGGGGCTGCTCGTGAGCAGAGCCCCCTGCCCCGGTGACACGAGGAGGGGCCCAGGGGAACACGCACCCGGGGAGGGGACACGGCGACTGGGACGGACGCAGGGGCCCCATGTTGCCCCCTCACGCCGCACCATCTCCCTCGGCAGGACCGGAGCAGCACATCCACGTGGGAGCTGCGGGGTCAGAGGACTGGAGACCGCGGCCCGGGGAGCTGAGGCCTCCGGACACGGCTCTGCGGGAGGAAAGCTTTACATTAAAGTTCCCCATCACGGCCGTTCAGTGAACGTGATGGTAAATCCCAGTGATCCCGGGTGCCTGAAACGCGCGTGCTTTATGATGCCGAGGACACGGTGCTTCTCCTAAAACCTCCTCAGCACACTGGTCCTTGGGGGAGGCCCCGTGCTGCAGGGGGACATGGCGGGGGCCCCGACCTCAGGACACAGGTCTCACAGGACTCCAGCCAGACGGAGTGGCCTGCACCTCAAGCCCCAGGCAGCGCTGAGCTGGGGGGGGCCCTGAGGGGGGCACTTTCCCCACAGGTGAGGGCCCGTCCCTACACCCCCTCCCATCACACAAGCAGTGTGCTCGTCGTAGGAAACACGAGAGCTCCCGCAGTCACTGCTGCGTTCCCAGGCGGTGGGCTCCTCACGCTGCATTCAACCTATTCGATCCTGGTTCCCACGTGCCAGCCTTGTGGCCCGTGAGCAGCCGTGCTTGGGCTGTGCACCAGGGGCCGGTTCTGGAAGAGTCCAGCGTGAAAGCAAGACACAAGTATGAGAGCGCCGACGGCAGCGTGGGATGTGGCGGACGCCATCACAGCTGAGCGCGTGGTCTCCCTGTTGTCCATCTGTCCCTCCGTCTCCCCCGCTCTCAAGCCCCCTGCGGTCCCGTATTGGCGAGCTGGCATCTCCTGGGCCCGCAGGTGAGCTCGCACCAGTCACGGTGCCGGACGGCTTGGCGAGGCTCCATGGCCACCTTTGCTTCGTCCCTGACTGCCCTGACCCCTACAGGCACCAGAGTCCCATTCCACAGGTAAGGAAACCCGTTCGTAACTAGACTTGCCTACGGTAACCCAGCTCGTGCCTTACGAGGATACCAGACCCCAGGGAGTCTCACGGTCCCCTGACGGCTGGACGCTGAACTTGGCCACCCGAACATGCTTGGAGTTGACAGCTTGCTCTCGGGGAAAAGCACAAGAACATTTTTCTGACAGCCATTTGCTCCTTGGTTTTGAGCAAGGGGGTCTTGTACTTGTTCAGAGCAAACACCTGAAACCCGCTCCTGTGACTGCTGCAGCTGGTTCTCTGCGGAAGGAAAGGCTGAGCGCATTTTAACGTCGGAGGACACCTGTGAAAACCTGAGATGACAGGCCTTTAGCTGTTCATCTCCCCGCTGTCCCGAGCGCGTCCTCACCCCGGAAAGCTGAAAGGCAGCTGCTGACTACGTAAGAAAGGAATACAAAACCCTTTGTTGAAATAAATCAGATTTGCCTTTTAATAGTTACCAGGATTTAGACAGAATTCCCCAGAGGAAAAAACAGAAGTTTCCAAAGGTACACCTGAAACAAGGGGGAGCAGTTTTTAAGAAACGTGGTTTTAAAGGAAGGAGCCACATGGGGTCAGAGGTCACACAGTATTTCCCTAGTCAGAGCCCACAGACCTTTGAAGGAACCACACGGGGCACAAGCCACTGCCCAGCAGCAACTGAGCAGGCGTCTCCCAGACCTCAATTCTGGACGACACACCAGCTCCGAGCAGGAGGGCCCCGTGCAGTCAGGGTCGTGGCCTCCAAAACCGATCACGGATTATTCTGAAATCCTTCAACCAATCAGCCCCAAACCACCACCGCTTATCTCTGCCCAGTTTCAACCAAATCACCGTTTAAAAAGCAAACATGAGCGAGACAATGAAGGCCACACCGCCGTGGGCCTCAAGGCTGAAAAGCACAGCTCGTCACTGTGCAGCTATTTGGATGGGACCGATGGGACCCCCATGAGGGGATACGTAACATGGGGAGCTCCTCGCAGAAGCAGGCCAAAGGTGGGAAGGAAAGCAAGTCCCCACAGCGGTCAGTGGCCGGCACTGTGCGCATCTCTTCACTTTCCCTCTGTCCCTGCTGAGCAGTCAAAGTTCCAGAATCCTGTTCAGTGTCCCCTTAACACCTCCAGCTACGGATTTAGGCCAAAAACCAACCTGTGGCTCATACTGCTCTCCTACCACGAGGACGGGGACATGTGATGGGGCTCCGGCAACAAACGCAGTGTCCCCGTCCTTGGTGCTGCCTGCCTCCCACGGCCCAGGCTCAGGTTTCAAAGAGTCTCCGGAACGCGGGCCCAATCTCCGCGACCATGTCGGTGGTGGTGGTGGAGCGGCCGTGCTTCTTGAAGGCCTGGTGGCCGCACTGGCGGGTGAGAGCGCAGGCCCCCAGGGCGGCCAGGAGCAGAGGGCTGGACCTGGAGGGAGACCATTAGACAGGCTCTGCTTCCCTCCCACGTCCCCTGCCCCCCAAATAGGCTCCAGCCCGCCGGGCCTGAGGTAGAAGTGGGCTTTACAACCAAGGACACAAACCCACCCCCGGAGGAGAGACCGTGGCTTCCCCCCACGAAGCGTGGTCTAGCGCCCTCCATGCCAGGCTTTGAAGACGACCAGAGACTGGAGAGTGTGGGTCCCCGGCCCCCTCAGCGGTGCCACCACCCCGAGGGACCCGTGTAGCTTCCCAGGTGGTGGGGGGTCCTCCAGACCTGGGACATCCCACCCCAGCCCGTGTGGCCCCCAGCATCCCACGACGCGTGTGGAGGAGAGGGTGAGGCCTGGGGAGGGGGGGACCCGCCTGCACTCTGCAGCTCTGCCTGGGAACGTGAGCCCAGCCTGCGGCTCCCAGTCCTGCCTCTTAGAGGAAACGGGTCTTTCAGGACACGGGCATGGCCGGCCCCCCTCTGCCCTGCGTTTCACGCTTTTGCTGCAGGGGACACACTCGCACCCCAAGAACAGGGCCTCGAGCCTGGCTGCGCGTGAGAACTAACTGGGGAGCTTCAAGAACCCCTGGGGCCCCGGAGGCACGGGCCCGACCTCGCAAGGGGCAGGAGCTGCCGGAGGACCGTCCTGGGACCCGCCCCCCCGCCCCAGGGTCACCCCTACGTGACACCGAGCTTTCCCCTGCAACGGTCCAAGCAGCCACTTATCCCACAGCCGGAAACTCCCGAGGCGGACGAGGTGGTCACGTACCCGTTCGTCTTCTTGGGCCCGGGGAGCAGCGCCCAGTGCAGCAGGACGCCCAGCGCGCCCGCCAGCAGGTCCCCCTGGCCGCCACACCTGCGGCCGCTGCCCTCGTGGGCGCACTCGAGCACTGCGGGGCAGGGGGGACGGCCATCAGAGCCAGCAGGCCGGGGCGTGACCTGGGCCAGCTGCCCGCCCGGCCTCCCCCTGCCCCCTCCCCCAGGAGGCGCGCGTTTTGTGGGAGAGGGAAGCCAGGCCAGCCTGAAGCCACCTGAGCTGCGCAGGGGGTTCAACTCGTGGGGGGTGGGGGCTGGAACAGGGCGGCGGAGAGCCCACGCCCCACCACACCCGGCGTCATGGAGGGTGCACGCTGTGTGCTCCGTCCCCTTTGCAAAACAGGAGTAAAATCAAGCTCATCAGGAAGTCCCTCTGTGGGGCACACGGGGCCACACGTGCTGCGGGGACTGGGCTTCCAGGGGCCGGAGCCCAGCACGGCCACAGGGGCCGACACGCGTGAGGCCCACAGCTGCCCACCGTGCTCGCCGTCAGAGATCACGTCCCGCTCCCCTTTCTGGACCACGGTCACGTTCCCCAGGGCCTGGCTGAGTCTCCGTACTGCCTCACGATGGTCACTGCTGTCCACGGGGTCCCTCAGCTGCAGGGGGGACGGCACAGACAGGGCCGTCAGCGCACAGGGACAGCAGCACGGGCAGCACAGACACTGCCCTCCCCATCAGATAAGGGACACTGCCCGTGGCAGACCTTTCAAGGTTCACAGAAGTGACAACTCCAAATGCAACACGCTGACCTTTACGGGGTGCTCAGTGTAGAAGAATTCGTGGGCTGACACCGTCGTGCCACTGCATCCTCCCAGACCCTCCGAGGCGGTGCTGTCATTACCCACGTTTCACGGGGCAGGGATGGGGTGGCCCCCCGAGCACCCGCCCCACCAGGATTGAACGGCACTCTTAGCATGTGGGGAACATGCGTCCACCCGCTGGCCATCTGCAGGGAAGGGTGGAGGCAGCCACAGCACCACCCCACCCCTCCTCAGGACCTGGGGGAACCTCGCACCCTGTCTCAGGGGGGCTCACACGCACACCCCATCTTCCGGGAGGTCAGCAAACTCACCACGGCTTCCCAGAGTCTGTGGAATTCCACGTGGTTGGGGGTGAGAACGGCCTTCCGGTAGCCGTGGACGAGGGCCGGGTGCCGAGCGAGGAGCCACAGCCCGTCCTGCGGACAAGGACGGGCATTCACCGCACAGCCTCAGGGCCCGGCCGTGAGAAGGGGCAGGGCAGGAGAGGCCACACTCACTGCGTCGATGACGACGGGGACGTCCCTGGCCTTGGATGCTTCTAAAATGCCCTGCGAGAAAGGAAGCTCTGCTGAGCGACAAGCCCTCACGCTCCACGGAACAGCAGAACACCAGGCAGGCGGCTCCGTGACGAGCTGCGCCACCGGGTCCCCGACAGAGACTGGGCGTGAACGGTAAACAGAACAGACCCAGGAGTCAGGGGCACGGGCAGCCTGGGAGGCAGGTGCGCAGCGCAGGGCCGGGCCAGCCCGCGGGACCCCAAGCCAGAGTCTCCCACTCTCCCGCCAGCACCCATCGGTTCTCAAATCATGGGTTTTTACGCAGATTCCCAAACACTTTGTGTTTTCAATTAAGTGACCAGGGGCGCCTGGGTGGCCCAGTTGGTTAAGCATCCAACTATTTCCCCTCAGGTCACGATCCCAGGGTGGGACTGAGCCCCACCCTCTGTGCTAACACTGAGGAGCCAGCTTGGGATCCTCTCTCTTCCCCTCCCCTGCTCACACATGCACACGTGCGCGCCTTTTCTGTTTCTCAAAATAAACTTTAAAAATAAAATAAGTGATAATAATCAGCAGTGAATCTCCCCTCTCTGACAAAGTTATACTCAAAGTCTCCAACGTTTTTACTAAATATCTATCCACGATCAACACATAGACAGTAGCTTATTACTCTGAACCAGCACTTTAGGAGATCACGTGCGGAGAGGGCTAGAAGCAGAAAGCGTTAAGAGAACAATGGGACAGGAGCCGCCCTAGGACGCCGTGTCCTTGGGAGAGAGGAGAGGAGGACGCAGGCAGCACGAGACAGACGACCGAGACAGACGACCGTGTGACGTGACGAGACCACGGAAGGCCAAGGCCGCCAGCCGACCACAGGCCAAGGAGACATGGACCCCAGGAAAAGGCAGACTTGCGGACCCCTGCTCTCAGACATCCTCCAGGGTGGGGGGAGGCACAGATGTCTGCCGTCCGAGGCCCCCGCCTGTGGCCTCCGTGGTGGCCGCCTCAGCAAGCGGATACAGGTGTCCAGAGCCTCGATGGCGTCAACTCCAGTGCCTCGTGGGCCCAAGAGGAAAAGCAGAGGAACCAGAAGATAAATCCCGGACAAGTGACAGCTGCCTTAATGACGGCCCTGACTCCCGATTTATAAAAAGTGTTGCTCTCTTTGTGAGCCAAGCGTTCAACTCCGGCTTCGAGAGAAAACAGTCCAGATATGTCCTGAGCGCCTAGGCCATCACCAGGTGACATGCCTGGACCTCCGGGAAGCGTCCTGTGGCGTACACGGGCTCAGAGCCCAAAGACCCTCCCTGAAGGCCCAGCTCTGGCCCTTAGAGGTGCGAGAACTGAAGTTACTTTACCTCCGTGAGACCCAGTGTCCTGATCGATAAAGTAAGGATGATGCCTTGAATACTAACTCTGAAGTCCGTATGAGGCTCGAGACGCGGCCTGGGAAGATTTACCCGGCTCTCGGCAAGGGAGCAGGGAGTCACAAACGGTAGCCGCGGTGATGATAACCTTAAACACACAGCCTAGCCCTGACCTGACAACTGCTTACATCCAACGCATTTTAACCTTTAAACTCCTCTTTCCTCCAAGTAAATTCTTTTGGACGGTCCAAGGCCCTTCACGTACCTGAAATGCAACCGTTAAAAAAAACAAAACAAACAGTAAAACAAAATACATGGTAAGCAGAAATAATTTAAAACACTTATAGAGAACTGCTGCAAAGTTATTCTGAAAATGAAATGGAAGACCCCATGAGGAAGAGCTGCCCTGCCCTACGGCCTCAGTGTACCTTGTGGACACGGCTTTGAGCGATGGGAGAGCGTCCAAAAGCCCCTTCAAACGAGGGCCAGGGCACAGGAGCCTCGTGGAGTCGCGTTTCCTCCCCTAACAACCAAAACGCTCCACGTGCTTAGAGTCTGGCTTTCCCGTTAGAAGAGACTCAGCTTCACTCAGGCCGCCTTCCCGCTCTGGTTGCAGCCACAACGCAGGGCCTCCAACTCCATGCTCTCCCACTGCAGTTCTCACAGAGCAGCGAAGTCCACATTCGCACGCGGGAAACCTCAGTCAGCATGACGGGCATCTGGGTCCTGTAACATCACCGGACACGTGGCTCTCCCGGGGCCCAGAGTCACGCGTCAGCTGCCCACGTAAGGACGACCCTGCTTCCTCACACAGAGGACTCAAAATGCCCAGGCACGTGGCCTGTCTCTGACCTCCCTGCCAGGAGGGTGCACAGCACACAGGCGGCCACAGCGGGGGTCAGGGCCCTGGGCACAGGGGACGGCAGGGGGTCAGGACCCCAGGCACAGAGGGGACAGCAGGGGGTCAGGGCCCCGGGCACAGTGGGGACGCCAGGCGGTCAGGGCCCCGGGCATGGTACACGGGTGGCCGCAGCACCAAAAGAGACCAGCTGATGACATGACCACACTCCTGTCCGTGAACCCCCAGTGCTCTACTCACGGGGCAGAGCGACAGCAGTGGACAAGCCCCACACGGGTCAGAGGAGGCTGAGCAGCCCCGTGTCCAGTAGAAAGATGCAGTGCAAACAAACCAGCAGGGGGCGCCAGAGTGCTCCCTGGGGGGACTGGGCGCAGGGGAGAAGGGACGAAGGCCCCAGAGGGGAGTCCTGGCCAGGGCAGGCTCCAGCGGAGGGACCAGCCAGAAGCACACCTTGCAGCGTGTATCCAGGAGGCGCCCAGAAGGAACGGACACATAGGACGTCACTACGGGCAGAGGAAAACACTACAAACAGCCTAAATGAACTAGATAAATGTGGCACATGGTGATGCAGCCATTCAAAATCACAAGGAGTGTACATACATCCTGTCAGGAGGAGGCCTCCGGGACTGAGCATTAAATAAGCACCAGTGCAGACAGCTAGTCAGGGGCCTCCGTTCTAGGTCCAGAACACTCTGGTTCAAAACCAGCCCACAAACAGGAAGACGTCATGCTGTTATGACGGCAGCGCCCCCCAGCTGACCTGTAGGTCCTTCGCAGTCCCCGCCGCCCGGCCTTCTGCAACCCGCCACTGTGAGAGTGCAGGGGCCCCGGACGGCCAACTACTCCGGAAATGAACAAAGCTGGAGGGGCCGTCTGGGGGACTCAGTCGGTTGAGCGTCCGATTTAGGCTAAGGTCATGATCTCACAGTTTGTGGGTTCAAGTCCCACCTCCAGCTCTGTGCTGACAGCTCAGAGCCTGGAGCTGCTTCGGATTCTGTGTCTCCCTCTCTCTCAGCGCCTCCCCTGCTCACACTCTCTCAAAAATTAGCATTAAAAAAAAAAAGAGATGACACTTTCCAATTTCAAAACCAGTCACACAGGCACCCCCGTCAGGACCGGGGGGCACGGGCCCGAGGACAGCTGTGACACCGATGAACAGAACGCAGAGCCCGGAGGGGAGCCCTCACGCCCGCTGACTGCCAGCACGGACGCCCAGACAGCTCACTCGGGGCCGGTGGGGCTGGAGCTGAACGTGCGCTTGCGGAGGGACGCGGTGCACTGCTTCCTCACCCCGCACGCGCGCACACCCGGCTCCGTACAGCAGCAGACCCAAACGTCAGTGCTAGAAAACAATTAAGCTCTTAAAAGGCAGGACTGGATCAGAACTAAAACCGCGTGCTGCAGAAGAACAAATCGTGTGCAGCACGCAGGAGCTCCTCAAACCGTCAACAAACTGATCACAAACCTGTGACGACGGCTCGTGGTGGCGGTACTGGTGACAGCTGGAGCGGGAGCCACCCGGTCGTCCGTCAAGTGACAGATGGAGGAATAAAGCATGTGCGGTCCGTCCACACAAGCGAACGTCAAACAGCACGGATCGGAGTGGGGGGGCCCGGCCCACCCGCCCGCGGATGAACCCTGAGAGGCTGCATGAACACAGCTGGTCACAAACACCACGTAGCGGAACCCTGCGCGACTAGGAAAGGCCCAGAACGGGCAGAGCCACAGACCACCGCTCCTGACCCCTCACCTCGTGGGGCCAGGATTCCAACACGTGAGCCTGGGGGACACACACGCTCCAACCACAGCGTGGCCACACCACACCTGCCCACACAGCTGTACCGAGGGAGCAGCAGCCGGAATTCTGAGGCTGCTCCACAGGGAGGTCTAAGCCACACCAACAGCACGGGGGGCTGGGCGGGGGTCTCCACGCTCGTGAGCAAGAAACGTCACCATGATTTGATGATCCAGACAAGCAGGATGGGGGGAGGGGGAGGAGGAGGAAGAAGGGGGGGAGGAGGGGGAGGGGAAGGAAGGAAGGGGCCAGAGCCCACAGCGAGCGCCACTCTGTCGCGGGGCCAGAGGCTAACTGGCGGGTCACGGAAGGTGGAGAATCCCATCATCCTGACGGTCATCAAGGCACCCAACACCAGACCCCATTCTGGCAGGAACCCACGTGCCTCTTCCTGAAGACGAACCATGCATCCGAGGGGCTGTCCCTGCCCCCCCATGCTGTGTGGACAGCCACTACCTCGGACAAGAGCGCACTGCAGACCCGCTGTGTTGCACGGGGACGCCCCTCCCGTCTCCCCCTCGCTGGCGCTGGGGCTTGGCGCTCCTCAGCTACGATTAGCTCGTACTTTTCAGCAAGTGGTCAGGGCGCCAGGACCAGAGGAGGCCACCTGGCAGGCCATGTGCCCCGTGCCACGCAGGCGGCTCTGGACCAGGAGCACCCCAAGGCCCCTCGTTCGCAGGCTGTGACCTGGAGCTACTGCCCGACTGTGCAGGCCTGGCTGTCAGGTTATCTGTCCCGAACGTCCAGGAGCTGGCTCGTTAGGCGGCCCGCTCTCAGCCCTGCGCTCTGGGCCCTGGAAGACGAGTGGTGCCCTCCCCCAGAGTGGAATGAAGACGCCCACATGTGGGCAATCCCAGTGACTCCCCGGCTGCAGGGTAAAAACCTGGCGCCCCAAGGCCATGAGGCGCATCCGTGGGGTTGGCTCTGTCTTACGTTTGCTGCCCTCTCTGCCTGCTGCCCCCCCCCCCCCCATGCACCAACCCTCTTCATTTTGCCATCAAGAGGCCGAGAACACTAAAAAGACGCTCAAGGAAAGCACTCTGTTGGGTCCACGAGAACACGGATGTTGGGTAATTGTCTGTTACCTTCACGTTTTCGAGAAGAAGGTCGTCTCTACCCAGGCCGGGTCCCACAACCAGGGCGTGCAGCCGGGGCAGCCACCTCTCCACGTCCTGCACGGCGCTGGGGCTGTCGCTGCGCAAGGGAAAGGGCAGGACACTTACTTACCTGCAAGCATGGGTTACCTTCCGGTTACACTGCGCATCCCTCCCGTTCCCGAAAGCTCCTCCTCCGGGAGAGGCCCGTGCTGCGACCCCACCTGCTCCTCCCTGGGACGGCGGAATGTGGAAGCCGAGCTCTCAACGTCTACAAACAGCCAGGGAAGACAGTAGGCCCCTCACGCCCGCCTCTGCCCTCCAGGGTGAGCCTGTTTGCCCCCACGGCTCACAGGAGGCCCCGGGCCCGGCACAATGGGGGAGCGCCCTTGGGCAGCACAAGGCCTGGCGCTGGGCGGGGGTTCGTCATTTCTTCCCGCTCATCACCGCTCCTTGGACTCTTCGAACCCACGTGGAAGGCTCTGCCCTGGACAACCCCACGGTGACAGCCAAGCGGCCGTGCTTAGTCTCTGTGTGACTGACTGCAGGGACGCGGGCACTTGGGAGACTGCAGCTGTGCAGCACCCCCTCCTCCCCCCACCCCTGCTCCCAGCATGCCAGGCCGTCCCTGCTGACACGCATTCCTCGTGCCGTCTCCCCCACGTTAACAACCCCCCGATTTACACCTTCCCTGACCACCCCCGTCTCGTCCCATCGAGCACCACACTCGACGTCTGACAGGCAGCTGAGAACACACCCAACCCACCCCCCACGCACCCCCCTTGTTAACTGACAACCAGCTTAGACCGAAGCCAGGGCGGCCTCCACGACGCTCCTCTTCGCCTCCCGCCCTGCACCCCACCCGTCAGCAGGCCCCGGCTGACGTCCACACGTGCCGAGAATCTGCCCCTTCTCCTATCTGTGCCCTTCACTTACTCTCCCCGGGCCCCCTGCAAACCCTGCTTCTACCCCGGGCCTGGAAGCTCACCGCCAACGCAGCAGCCAGATAAGCCGTTTACAATGCTCACTGGATGCAGCCGCTCCCCTGCTCAGCAGCCCCTCTGCGCTTACATGAAAGCCAAACCCTCATGATGGCCCCCACGACCTGCTGAGCTTGGAGCCCCTATGCTCCCCGACACCCCGCGGCCCGCGCTGCTGCGTCGGCCCTGCCCTGGGGATGCAGGCCCTTCCTGAGCGCCACTTTCTGGGCCCCTGCCCTCGGTCACGCCACGGAAAACTGAGCAGGGGCCACGTGCGTGCACCCCACGTGACACACGGTGTCTCTGCCCCCTGCCCTGCTCGGGTTCTCCGCGAGGTCTCTGCCGCCCTGACACGCCCGCTCCTCCTGGTTCGTCTCCAGGCCTGTGCTGCCCAGCAGGACACACAGCCCCAGGTGGGGATTTAAGTGTGATTACAGTAAAATCTCAGCATCTGAGTCCCACTGGCCACATTCAAGTGCTTAGTAGCCACACGTGATCAGCAGGCACGGTTCTGAACAGCAAGGAAGGAAGGAAGGAAGGAAGCTGCAAGGGAGCAGGTGTTTTGTCTGCTGGGTCCAGAAGCTGTCCGCCATCTGGGTGGGAAGCCTCTGCCGAATGACGAATGACGGAGCGGCCCCCTTCCCGCTGCAGGGGTGTGGCCTTGGGCAAGGCCCCTCCCATCCCGGGAAGCCTCAGCCCCTTCTGAAGGCCACTGGGCACCACACCCTGGTGGCCTGGATCTCGTCCTGAGGCACACAGATGGCTGCAGAGCTTCTGACCTTACGGCTTCCCCCCTTCTCCCTTCTCGTGACAGCGCCTCCCATCACCAGCACAGCAGTAGCCGGGCGGAGGCGCCTGCAGCACCCCCCGCCCCTCCCCAGAAGGCCGCCAGCCCCCTGCACGGCCCCACTCACAGAACAGGGTGAACGATCAGCTCCGGGCTGTATGACTTGATCACAGGCGCAGCCTCCCGGGTGCAGAACACGTGCGACAGATCTGCGCCCTAGGACACGAGCATAGGGACTGGCTCAAAGCACGGCCCACCCCGCAGACGCAGAAGTGGTGTCCGCACGAGGCCAGGGCCTCTCACCACGCAAGGCAGCTCCCTGCAGGACGGACCCTATGGAAAGGTCTGGAGACAAAGCAGTTTTGCTCCCCCAAGAGGCAGGTCAGCCAGACCAGCTCAGCCGTGTCACCCCGAGGGCCGCGGGGGGCACGTTCACGCTCACGGTGCCGGTGGGGCTGCGGGACGAGGCAGAAAGACGGCAGCTGCTCATGGCAGGACGGAGGCGGCGTCCCCAACGGCACTGGTGAGTGCGGTCCTCACGTAACTTCAGCTAAAAGCTCCAGTCTTTTGTCCCAGCACAAGGTCAGGATAGATTTCAAGGTGCTTCTCAGGGCACCTGGGGGGCTCAGTTGGGGCGCCTGGGGGGCTCAGTCAGTTAAGTGCTTGACTCTTGGTTTTGGCTCCGGCCATGCTCTCACAGTCTGAGGGGCAGAGCCCCGAATCGGGCCCTGTGCGGACAGTGCGGAGCCTGCTTGGGCTTCTCTCCCTCTCTCTCTCTGCCCTCCCCATCTCTTCTTTCTCTCAAAAATAAACTTTAAAACACAAAGACAAGCTCATCACTAGACAGAGAAGCTGCGAACAGACCTACCACTTTGAGAGCGGAGATGGCGGCGAAGTAGGGGGCTCCGGTGTACCTAAGAAGGAAGACACAGGCAGTCAGAACCTTCTGGGAAGGGGGCGGCAGGACACCAAGACGTGAGTCCCTCGGCCCAGGACCCTGCACCTCGCAGGTGCTCAGGAATGTTCACTGAACACCAGCAACACGGCCCACAGCCACACGAGTCACTCTGTCACACGAGACCTTTGTGCACGTCAGGCCCCGCTCTGCCGCACGGCGCTCACACTGAGGCTGGAGGCGGCCCGGGACCCCTGCAGGGCCCGCCAGGAGCCCCCGGGGGCAGGAGCGCGCGCGCAGGCGCCGAGACTCACGCCCCGTCCTACCAGAATGCCTGGAACTACTCTTAAGGCTGCATCAAGTACAGAAAGGAAAATTCTTTATTGGGGGGTCGGGGGCGGGGAGAGCCCATTCGCGTAAGGGCGAGGGGCGGAGAGGAAGGAGGGGGGTTATCGTAAGCAGGCTCCACACTCAGCACAGAGCCAGACGCGGGGATCGACCACATAACCACGGGATCATGACCTGGGCCGAAATCAAGAGTTGGACGCTTAACCGACTGAGCCCCCCAGGCACCCCTAGAAAGGAAAATTCTTGAACTTGTCATCAGACTCGTGTAAACTTTACGTCAATTCCAAGCAGTGAGGGAAACTGGGACAAAGACTGAATACTGTCTGCACGTGACACTCCCCCGGAGCGGGCCGCCGAGGGGTCGGGACACAGGGCAGGACATGCCACGCGCGCTCTCCCTGCTCCCCCACAACATGGACACGAGCCCAGCAAAGGATGCACTAAAACCAGGAAAACCAGCCTGCCTACGTGCCCAGCAGAGGCTGCCCAGGGACCGGGGCGGGGCCGGGGGGGGGGGGGAGGCCTGCTGGTGGACGCGCACATGGGTATGACCGCGGGGACGGGGACACGATTAGCAACACGTAACAACATCGGGGTGTCTGTGTACTCTGCTGCAGGAAAAACTCCAGGAACTGATCCCTTGGAAACAACGCAGGCAGAAAAATGTACAGGGGCACCGCAGCCACGCCGTTTAGCTGGAAAAGAGACCAGAGGTCAGCCCTTGCGGCCCCAAGGGCGGCCTGGACGCACCGTGGCCCCTCGGGGCGATCACCACCACACGCCCCCGACCCAGAATCAGTGTCCAGGAACCACCGGGAGGGACTGACGCCCGTGCGTGACAGGAGGGGAAAGGCCGCGCCCCAAACAGTGTGTGTAGAATGCAAGTGTGAGGGGAGTTTCTGATAGAAGCTCTGACGGCAAAGGCACCCGCCTCAAAGGCAGCTCTCTCTCCCACAGCCCAGACAGAGCCGGGCCAGGGCGCCCCCTGGAGGCTCCTTGGTTTTAAAGACCTAGGCTGATTTCCGTAACTGACCACTGGCCACTGGTCTTGTCTCTTCCTGTGACTGAAATTCCTACACACTAAATTCACCAATAAGAGGGCACCGGGCGGCTCAGTCGATTAGACGTCCAGCTCTGGATTTCGGCTCAGTCATGAACCCACTGTTCATGAGATCGAGGTCCACGTCAGGCTCTGTGCTGACCGCACAGGGCCTGCTTGGGATCCTCTCTCCCCTCCCTCCCTCTGCCCCTCCCCTGCTCTCTTGCTCGCTCCCTCTCTCTCTCTCTCTCTCTCTCTCTCTCAATACATACACTTACCAATAAAGAGTTTTCCAAACCCCAAACCCCTCTCTACACCCCAATAAAAGTAGAACCTTAAGCCTACGCGCTCTTCATGCAACCTCGTCGTGTGGCCCCCAGTGTGCATGTCATTTCCAGGTCTCGTCACACACCTTTCCTGACAGTTGCTGCTATGACCTTGTGATCACAATAAGAACCACAGGGGCAGATCCAACCACAACATGGCTACTGATACGCCGAGACTGTCCCAAACCAGTTACAACATGGTCCCAATTTTGTAAGAAATAAGTATATGCACAGAAAGGCTGGAAGCCTAATAATGTGTCCAGGCTGTGTTATCAGGGTGGGAGGGGGGTTACAAGGCTTTCACTTCGCATACTTCTGCAGTGTCTGAATCTTTGTAACAAGCAGACAGTCCTTTTCTAACCAGAATACACAGGACCCTATTTTAGAGGCTAGTTCCTAAAGCGAAGAGACTTATGTTAAATTAGATAATGACCCCCAGCACGCTGCATGACCAGGCTTATCGGCAGAGAACACCTGATGACCAATTCTTTCCCTGCAGACGTCTCGACACACCAAGCCGGAGATGGAGGGGATCGGAGGAATAAGACCCCGACCTCAACTCTCTCAGGGGGCACGGACCCAAGGGGCTGGCAGAGGCCCCGTCCCAGCGGCGGGAGGAGGGCCGTCCTCTAACCGGGGGACTAAAGGGAGAAAGGCAGCTACGAGCTGGTGAGCCAGGGTCCACGCGGCAGCAGGAAGAAAACCAGCCACGAGATGAGAGCCAGGGACAGACGCAAACTTCCCCCATCCAAAGGGACCGTGTCTACATAGAGCACTCAGCAGATTACTGAAAACAGGACACAGTCAGACACACCCCAGGAAGCTGCAGAATTCTGACAAACCTTACAAATGTCCAAACAAGAGTAAGTTACTTCCTTACAGATTAAGGTGAACTCGGAAGGAGCCAAGTAGAAGCCAGAGGACAAGGCGGTCACATGCGCTGATCACCAGGGAGAGTCAGCCCCGCCTGCCACGGCACCGTGGCTGTGCAAGCACCTCCCCTGCACATGCCGCACAACAAAGATGCCAGGAGAGGCCCAGTGCCCCGACCCTGACTGCAGCCCTCAGGCCAGGCAGGAAGGTGTACGCTGCAGATGCACTGCTGCCTAAGTGACACTCAGCAGTGAGGGCTCCCTAGGAATTCTGAGATCCAGTGTTCACTCTCCCCAGCGGCATTTTTAATTCATCACAGTAGGTAAAGAGGCAACCACTGGCTACATTTGAAAGTATAACAGGAGCGCCTGGGGGCTCAGTTGGTTAAGCATCTGACTTTGGCTCAGGTCATGATCTCATGGTTCGTGGGTTCAAGTCCCGCATCGGGCTCCGTGCTGACAGCTCAGAGCCTGAAGCCTGCTTCCAATTCTGTGTCTCACCCCCCACTCCACCTGCCCCTATGCCCTCTCTCTTAAAAATAAATAAACAAAAAAAAATTAAGTTCGTGGCAATAGATATCATTTATAAACAAGGACAAATTATAAAATGTTATGCGTCAAACAACTCAGCAGTAATATATAAAATCAGAAGAGAGAACAAGCCATGAGAAAAGGGTAGGATCTAATTTCATTAATGACTCCCAAGACTATCTTCAACCTGACAAAGTAAACCAAACCCATGCTGTTTTTATCCGGATTACAAAGTAACACCTGTGTATAGGAGCTGTCAACACAGACAAGTGTAAGGTCAGAAAAAACACTACGAGCCTCCACCACAGGCAAAATCGGGCTACCGCCCGGCGGAGCGTGCACTCAGCGCCCCTCGCTGTTTTCTCCTATTCGGTCAAGAAGCTCGTCGCTGAAAAACACCGAGCGTCAGAACACCGGACTACATTTAGAGACGACGACTGGGGTCTAACTGCTGAGCAGGCGGAGGGCCAGGTGACGGGGGCTGTTCACCGGCTGACACAGCCGGAGTCACTCACTCCTGGCAGCCGCCGACCACGCCTATCCTTCCGTCCTGGCCTTTGTGCTTCTGGGCGGTGAGAGGAGGGATGATGCTCCTCACCAGCTGAAGGGTGCTCTCCATCTCCTTTATCGAGTGTGCTTTAGGCAATGAGAACGCTCTTTCTAAAACTGAAAAACAGGGAAACAAAATTACTTAGGAAAGTAAGTATCCACTGGCACACATAAAAGATGGACACAAGATAGCCTATTAACCAAAACACCTCCCAAAGCTGACTTAATACGAACGCCAGATTTTTATCCAAAGGTTTCATTATTTTTTTTAATTTTTTAATATTTATTCATTTTTGAGAGAAAGATAGAACAGAGCATGAGTGGGCGAGGGGCAGAGAGAGAGGGAAATAGAATCCAAAACAGGCTCCAGACTCTGAGCTGTCAGCACAGAGCCTGACATGGGGCTCGAACTCACTGACCGCGAGATCATGACCTGAGCTGAAGTCGGACACTCAACCGACTGAGCCACCCAGGTGCCCTCATTATTTTACTTCTATAAGCAAATGGGGTTTAGAAATTACAATGCAAAACACAAGCTGTACATGACCAAATTCGTTTCTGAAATGTATTATTTTGGAAGTCTAGCAAATCTTTCAGAAAGCGTTTTGAGGGGCGCCTGGGTGGCTCAGTTGGTTGGGTAGCCAACTTCAGCTCGGGTCATGATCTCACGGTTCGTGGGTTCAGGCTCCGCGACGGGCTCTGTGCTGACAGCTCAGAGCCTGGAGCCTGTTTCCGATTCTGTGTCTCCCTCTCTCTCTGATCCTCCCCTTCTCAAGCTGTCTCTCTCTCTCTCCCTCTCTCAGAAATAAAAAATGTTAAAAAATTTAAAAAAAGTGTTTTGAATGCATTCCTACTTAATAAAGGACACACATTCCTTTTGAATCTTCAAGTCTCTTCTCTCAAACTGGAAAAGCAACTTCCAACTTGTTACCTTCCAGGGTCACATTCAAGTCTGAGATTCACATCACTCGCAATTTGCCAGTCACGTTTCTGGCAATCAGTTGGATACAAATTAAATAATCTAGAAAGGGGGGGCACCTGGGTGGTACAGCAGGTTAAGGGTTCCACTCTTGATTTCACCTCAGGTCATGATCTCATGGTTTGTGAGTTCCAACTGACGCGCCGATAGGGCAGAGCCTGCTTAGGATTCTCTCTCTCTCTCTCTCTCTCTCTCTCTCTCAAAATAAACTTTAAAAAAATAAGACAGAAACAATCTAATAATGGGATTCTAGATAGAGAAGACATCTTACATTGGGTTCAAAGTGGCATTTTAACTATAAGATGATTCTGACCTGTCAACCCCATACTCTTCACTTTCTTGCAAACCAACACAAGCTAAAGTTCAAAACTTAATCGCTGTAAACCTGTGGCCAAGAAGAGGCACAAGTGGGCTTGCTCAGGGATGGTCCCAGCCCGATGCGCCCCCCCCTTCGTGATTCCCAAGTCCGGGGGGCGTGTCCACAGGGGGCGTGTCCACGGGGCACAGGCTGCCCGCACCCCACATCCACGGGCTGCACGCGGTCTCCTCAAGGCACTGCCAGGTCAGCTGCATGAAGGGAGCCTGAGCCATCACAGTCAGATGTGGTGACAAATCACTGACTGCTCGAGAGCTGTCCACGCATCACAAGAACGCGTGCTGTGCTTTCGTTCCAAATGTCAGCACATTAAGCGAAACATCAGGACTGGGCCACACAGGTATCAGAGAACGGCCACTCCTTCAATTCCCACATCAAGAAATACAGTTGTTTTTTAAGGTTTTTAATATCATTTATTTTGAAGGAGAGAGAGACAGAGCACAAGCAGGGGAGGGTCAGAGAGAGAGGGTGACACAGAATCTGAAACAGGCTCCAAGCTCTGAGCTGTCAGCACACAGCCTGACATGGGCCTCGAACCCCCAAATTGAGAGATCATGACCTGAGCCGGAAGTTGGACCCTTATCCGACTGAGGCCCCCAGGCGCCCCTATGGTTGCTTTTTAAAGTCTAGAACTCGTAAAAGCAGAACCCAAACTTATCAGTCACTCAAGGAGTGTTCTGGGTTCCCTACAAGGTTGTGGGTTTATGGGGGACCGTCTTCATACTAGGACTTGGCTGCACACAAAGTACCCCTACGACCACCCCACGGCCTCTCTCTGCTTACACAGAGCACGCTCGGCCCCACCTACGGATCCAACCACCTGGAGTCCGGCACCGAGCAGACACTCCGTTAACGCTGGGTGGATTAAAAGCATCTTGGTTTCGTCTCATTAGAAGCCAGTCTGTCCTCTTACAGACCAGGGAACTGGAGCGCAGGGACACAGGCCCGCCTCCGCCTGGGTGACGGGTAAGCCAGACCAGGGACACCGCTGCCCCAAAGTGCTGCCGTTTTAAGGCAAATCACTTCTCTCTAACCAAACAGTCACCACACCACCCAGAAGACCATCCAACTGCTCCTCTGAGCATCTGCGGGGACCAGTGAGCCGCGCCAGCTCCCGCTACACTTGGCAGCCGTCGGTTTCCGCTGGCTTTCCGCACACCCCGTGTGTGCTCGTCCACAGAAACACTTCAACAGAAACCCCCGCGTTCTGCAGGATAAAAAGGCCTTGACAACAGGCGATTTCAAATTTATCCAATTAAGTCACCTGGTCTTCACAACAATTCCGAGTCTGGAAGAACCGGTCAAACCTGCCCGATTTTTGTTTGTTATAAGGCAGTGGCCGAGGCAGTCTGGAGACCTGAATGCATCTCGTGAGCCCGGGCGCATTTCTGGACCGCCTTTCCACCACCCACCCTCCTGATACCGCCTCTAGTGCCCGCGGTGCCTTAAGCTACCGGGAACCGCACTAATCTGGGGCACTTGCACCTGACGGCACTCCCGACCACAGGCTAAGACGGGCGCTCAGCGCTCCAGAACTCCACCCGCGTTTCGGTAAAGGTTCTGGCTTAGTAAAGAACTTCAAACTCCAAGAGAAATACTAGCTCATCACAGGGTACACATTTACGGGAAAGGGCACCAATAAAAAGTCTCTAAACAGGGGCGCCTGGGAGGCTCCGTTGGTTGAGGTCCGACTTTGGCTCAGGTCATGATCTCACAGTTGTGGGTTGGAGCCCCGCGTCTGGCTCTGTGCTGACAGCTCAGAGCCTGGAGCCTGCTTCGGATTCTGTGACTCCCTCTCTCCCTGACCCTCCCCTGCTCACGCTGTTTCTCTCTTTCTCCCTCAGAAATAAACAAAACATTAAAAAAAATTAAAAAACTCTCTGAACATAAACTGTGACCAGAGGCCCCTCTGCTGCTGCTGTGCCTGATCCCTCTCTGCGTCTCAAAGCCTCTGGCACCTGAAACTAATGGAAGGCCGTGTGCCAACTCGACTTCAATTACCAAAAAAAAAAAAAAAGCATTTGGAACGATCCTGCAGAAAAACAAAAAGCCCAACTCCCTCAGTTATTCTGGGCCAGGCCCAACTACACCTACATACACGGTAAAACCTGTCTAACGGCTGTTAGAGCCAAAGTGAAGCTTGCCACTTCGGCTCCTTGCAGGCTGGGGTCGCGGCTGGCGCAGTTCTCTTCTTTCCTCGGCCTCTCCCACACAGGTGGATCAACACGTGTGCGCGCCGCGGTGTGGGAAACGGGCCAGCACAACACACCAGCTCCTGAACGGCTTCAAACGTATCCCTGCATTCTACACGAACACACACAACGCGCATGGACGTAAACACCCACAGGGCAGAGGGGTTCGGGGCTCCGACTGGGGCCTCACACGCCCGAATCCTTTCTCCACCGTCCGTCCTACTTAACAGCCAAGGCCGGGGCGGGGGCCTCGGGGTCACTCGGTGAACCCCGCACGCGAGGCGGGGCCGCGCGCGGCGCCCCAGGGCCCGCTCCGTCCCCTCGCCGCGCGCTGCCGGCGCTACCGGTCCCCGGCGCGGAGCCCGCCCCGGCCCGGCCCCCCGCGCCCCCCGCGCCCCGGCCTCCGGCGGCGCCCCCGTCCGGACGAGCGCCCGCGGCCGGGTACCTGCGTTCAGCGGCGGCCCGTAGAGCGCGAGCGCGGCCGACAGCAGCGCGACCACGGCAGCGCCGGCGACCACAGCCCCGGCCCCCGCCCGAGCGGCCATGCCCGCAAGGCCGAGAGCGACCTTACCTCCCCGGCCGACCCGGGCAGCCACCCAGACGCGACCCACGGCCATGGGCGGACTTCCGGGCGCGCGGCCGGCCCCGCGTCGCCGCCGGAAACACGGCCGCCCGCGCGCCGTCCCCGAGCCGGGCTCTCCTTGAGGCCTCGCCCCGCCCACAGGCTGGCCTCCACCAGTCAGAGTTGGTCGCCCTTGATTGACAAGCTCAGTGCCCAACCCAGCAGGGCCCCGGTTCTGGACGCCTGGACTTTCGCTGGGAAGGCGATTAGGGGCATCAGCGAGTCTCAGGGATGCAGAGTGAGGGTTGTTTCTGTAGCTCCAGTTTTGGGCCGGGGGCGTTATAGGAAGCGAGGCAGAACGCTGCCTCGTTGCGAACACTTCGCTCTTAGAAAGCAGGTGGAGGGGCGCCTGGGGGGCTCAGCCGGTTAAGCGTCCGACTTCAGTTCAGGTCATGATCTCACGGTTCGTGGGTTCGAGCCCCGCGTCGGGCTCTGTGCTGACAGCCCAGAGCCTGGAGCTGCTTCAGATTCTGTGTCTCCGTCTCTCTCCGACCCTCCCCTGCTCACGCTGTGTCTCTCTCAGAAATAAATAAAAACATTAAAAAAAAAAAAAAAAACAGAAGGCGAGCAGGCGGAGGGTCCGGAGGAGCACCCCTGCACAGCCCAGCCCCTGACGTGCCCGACCTCTGCCCTGGACAGCACACTGGTCTGTCCAGCTCGGTGGCCCCCGCCAGGCTCCCCGCCTCCGTAAGCCGGGAGCTCTGCCGTTCCAGCTGCTCAGGTCAGAGACCAGAGGGCAGGCTCGCTCCCCGCGTCCCCCTCCCCCTGAGGGCCGGCCTTAGGGAGGACGCTTTGAGGTAAACAGGCTTGAACCGTGGCATGCCAGCCCACGACGACCCCCTGGGCCCCCTGGCTGAATGCCCACGGGCCATCAGGGGACCCACCTCAGGACAGCGTCAGGCCCCAACTGGCCAACGGGCTGCGTACAAGCAGGCGCCGTTACCAAAACAGGGAGCGTTCCTTGCTCGCAGGACCTCGTCGTCCCCTTTCAGGGGAGCCCCCACCCTTGGCCTGCCCGCAGACAGCCTCTCACTTGCCCTGCGCGCAAACTCCTTTCCTCTTCGTTCTGCCTCAGGTGAATTCTCTCCCTGCTGCCCCACCCGCTTCCGCCTCCATCATAGCCCCACCTTTGGGGGCCCCCATCCCACCGGGGACGCCACAGGCTTTAGAAATGGATCCAGAATTTGCCTGCCAGCACTCTCTACTTGGAGCCCAGTCGTGGCTAGGTGATGGCAGTGGCAGTCCGTGTTGGTGCCTTGGGGCTCCGTGCCAAATTGCCACCCCCGGGGAGGGGGGCACAGAACAGCAGAAATGTATGGTTTTATGGTTCTGAAGGCCAGAGTCTGCGATCGAGGCCTGCCCTCTGTAGCTTCTCCCGGTGCCATCGTCCGGGGCGTCCCTTGCCTGGCAGCGGTATCACTACAGTCTCTGCCCGTGTCGTCGCATGGCATTCTTCCTGTGAGTGTCCTCATATCCTGGTACTTGTCTCTTCTTACGAGGACACCAGCCATATTGACCTAAGGCCCCCTCCGACTACCTTATCCTAATTCAATCATCTGTAAAGAGCCTGCTTCCAAATAGGGTTACACTGGCAGGTGCTGGTGGCTGGGACTTAACATATCTTGGGGGACACAACTCCCCCATAACACCTTCTAAATTCACCTCCCTATGTCCCTACAGCAACAGGATGATTTTTTTTAAGTTAATTTGTTTTCAGAGAGAGAGAGAGGATGGGTAGAAAGAGAGGAAGAGAAAGAATCCTAAGCAGGGCCCATCTGGTCAGGGTCAGTGCAGAGCCCCACTGAGCAGGGGAGGGGTTAACAGTAGACAGGGCTGGGTGAGGGATCCTCAGGGAGGCAGGCTACAGCTACACGTGGAAGGCTGAAGCAGTTCTGGAACAAAAACAAAAATCAAAGGCTAAGCATGTTCCAGACCTGCCTAGGCTAAGTGCCAGGAGTGGAGTCTCACAAACTTTCTGATAAGGTCCCGCTAAAAAGTCAAAGACAAAAATCCTTGGTGGCAACCCAGTCGGGACCCCCTTACTCCTGAGAGCTTCGTGACTTTAGCTCAATAAACTCTATCGATTTGCTCAGTCTGTTGTCCGTGAGATTCATTCTTCGACTCGGTGAGACGGAGGCCAGGGCGTCTCCCACCCTCCTGTGACACCACGAACTCCGAGATCATGACCCGTGCCAAAATCAAGAGTCAGACGCCTAACGAACCGAGCCACCCAGGCGCCCCAACAGAACCGTCTTCCTTAGATGAAAGATCACGCCACTCCTCTGCACAGAACCCTCCAGTGATTTCCCATGTTGGAGCAAAATCCTAAGCTCCTTTCTTCCAAGTCTTCCAGCCCTTATGTGACCCAGGCAAGTCCATCTCCCGCCACTGTTCCCCTTGCTCGTCTCTCCAGCTACACCAGCTTCTTGGCCCTTAGTCCAGCTGCCAAGCGGGCGCTGCCTTCCTTCCGCAGGAGCGCTTCCTCCTGATACTGACATGACGCATGCGTGTAGCTGGAGTTTTATCAGTACCACACCGTTTCTGACCATTCTATGTAAACTCCATTCCCCTTCTTTCCTGCTTCCTGCCTTACTATTTTCCTTAGCACTTTTCACTTGACATATTCATTCATTCATTCATTCATTCATTCATTTTCATCTATTTCACTATGACTATAAAAGTTAGCTTCAGGGGCTCCTGGGGGGCCCAGTCAGTTAAGCGGCCGACTTTGGCTCAGGTCATGATCTTGTGATCCATGAGTTCGAGCCCTGCATCGGGCTCTGTGCTGACAGCTTGGAGCCTGGAGCTGCTTCAGATTCTGTGTCTCCCTCTCTCTGCCCCTCCCCTGCTTATGCTGTCTCTCAAAAATAAATAAACGTTAAAAAAGATTTTTAAAAAGTTAGCTTCGATGGAAAACATTTATTTTGTTCTGCACTGTATGCTCAGGGCTTAAAACTCAGTGCATAGTAGGTGCTCACTCTTTCTCTTTCCTGAGACATAATTTACATAACAATAAACGTCACTGATTTTAAGTGTACAGTTCCACGAGTTTGCACAAATGTATATAATCATGTAGTCACCACCACATTCATTAGAATAGATGTTGATTCAATAGAATAGATAAAACACTTCTATCAACACTCCCAAATCAGGCTTTTGATGCTATTATAAATGGTATTTTCTTAATCTGAATTTTTTTTTAAATGTTTTATTTATTTCTAGGAGACAGAGAGAGAGACAATGTGAGCAGGGGACGGTCAGAGAGAGAGGGAGACACAGAATCCGAAACAGGCTCCAGGCTCTGAGCTGGGGCTCGAACCCACGAACCACAAGATCATGACCTAAGCGAAAGTCCGACGCTTAGCCGACTAAGCCACCCAGGCGCCCCCTTAATTTGAATTTTTAATTGTTCATTGCTCATATATGGAAATACACTTGATTTTTTTTTTTTTTTT